CTCAGTAATCAGCGCAGCGCTAGCCACATCCTCCTCCTGCAAGCTTCATTTGCCTCTGCACAGCAAAGTGGAGTCGTCCTTGGACCATTCTGTGAGCTGTAGGCATGGAACTGTATACACTGTTTCACGCTACATAGCTTTTCTCTTGGCTGGATAGTTAGACTGACTCATTGCTTAAAGCCTTTTCCGTCTTTTTAGGCAAGGGAAGCGGTCAGAGGATTTGGGTCTGGGTAGACTGTTCCAGCCACGAACACGAACACACACACACACACACACACGAACACACACACACACACACACACACACACACACACGTATTACTGTGTTTATGAGTACTTCCCCTGACTTACATAATACTTTAACTGAGTAGTGTTAAGTCTAACCCCAACATTAATCCCAGTAAGTAAAAGACAATCTTTTGGCCTTTTTTGCAGCATTTGTGGTTTATCCTTACAACAACATTCTCATGTCAAAATGCTGTGTTTTCCTTTCATAATGAAGACATCTGGTCCTCCCACAAAGCTAAAAACAAGTACATATGCTGAGGCTTCAATTACAGCATCGACAACCAGCAGAACTTTCAGTGAAGGGATCACAGTGGTGGAGACATATGCACAGCATAATTATCTTCATTGCACCATTCAGTGCTATTACACCCCATAACCCTCCCCTCCACAACACACATATATACAAAGAGCTCTATGCTGTGGCTCAGTACAGTTTCAAACAGACAAAGTTACTTTTACACAGGAACTACAGTGAGACATGACAGTTCAACTGCATGCTGCACCCTGACATGACAACACATATACACACACACACACACCACACACACACACACACACACACACACACACACACACGCACTGTGGTTGGGACCAAAAAAACCCAACCAGTCATTTTAGCGCGTGACAAAAACAGAGCCAGCAGCCCAGGTTAGTCATCGAAAGCAAAAATGGAGCACTGCTACATGCCAAGGATGGAGAGGATGAGCGAAGGGCAACAAGAGTATGACACAATAAGTCCTTGCAACGCCCATTTGTCAAGATTCATCAGATCATATCACTGAGCCATTTCCTGTCAAACAGACACCTCAACATGTGCAACACAGTCCAGAATACTGCAAAAATAAAGCAAAAACCAATGGAATGTTCTTGATGAAGCCTTCATAAAACACTAAACATTCCCAAAATTCACTTGCTCGGGGATACAAGGCAGGATTTCTCAAAGTCAAGACTGTCCAATAAAAAGAGATGATAATTTCTATTGAAAAATCTTCATATTTGGGCTCAAGTCATCCGATGAACTGACTGCTTCGTTAATTTCAACTTCATTTCTGAAAAAGTTGGGACACTGAACAAAATGTAAATAAAACAGAATGCAATGATGGGTAAATTGTTTAAACGCAGTAATTAACTGAAAATAGTACAAAGACAACATAAATGTAGGAACTGAGGAATTTTGCTTGTAAAAAAAAATTTGCATCCATCTTGAATTTGATGCCAGCAACACCTTTCAAAAATGTCTCACAACTAATTAGGTTCATTGGGAACAGGTCAGTAACATGATGGGGTATAAAAAGTCTTTCAGAAGTAAAGATGGGGAAGGGTTCAGTGAAAGACTGCATAGGTAAACAGTACAACAATTCAAGAATAACTGGCGTAACATACACACAAACACACACAGTTCTCTGCGTAACACAGTAAACAACTTTGGGATTTTATCATTGATGGTATATAATGTCAGTAAAAGATTAAGAGAATCCAGAGAAATCTCTGTATGCAAAGGACAAGGCCAAAAAACCAACACTGGATGGCCATGATCTCCAGGCCCTCAGATGGCACTGCATAAAAAACAGACACGATTCTGTAGTGGAAATCACTGCATGGGCTCAGGAACACTTCCAGAAACCACTGTCTTTAAACACAGTTCCATGATTCATCCATAAATGCAAGTTTAAACTCTACCATGCAAAGAAGAAACCATACATAAACAGGATCCAGAAACACCGGCTCTTTCTCTGGGCCTCAGCTCATTTAAGAAGGGCTGAGGTGAAGTGGAGAAGTTCAAAAGCCAGCATCTGTGATGGTATGGAGGTGTATTAGTGCACATCGCATGGGTTTGATATATTGTCTTTGTACTTTTTTTATTAAATACAGAGTTTAAATGATTTGCACATCACTGCATTCTGTTTTTATTTACATTTTGCACAGTGTGCCAACTTTTTTTGAAAAAGGGTTGTACCTCCCTGACAATTTCTGTTTTTACAGCGCAGAATAACACACTTTGAAAAAATATTATAGGCCTAGAGTAACTTCTTCCACTGGGCTCAGTGTAAACCAAGGCATAAAAGTATCTTTCGATGTGGAACCAAAAAAGTGATCTAAAAGTTTATTATTAAGGGCCAGAGGGAAGCAATTTGTGCTAACAATGAAACTTCTCCACCACAGCAATAGGCAGCTCACCAGTGCTTTCTTTCCTTTTCCGTGGCTCTATTATTATAAAGCTGTGCGCCAGTACAATGACCTAGTGGTCTGTTTGTGGATCCTCTACCTCTTGCCCACTCAGCACTCTGGACCTGTCTGGACGGACACACACACACACACACACACACTATGGGTAGGTAATATATGTTATTATTTATTGTGATGAATTACACGACAGTAGGCCTTTGAGTATATTTCATGTCCTCATTTGAACAAAATCTCACATCTATGTTGAGGACATTTGGTTCTCACAACAATCTAGGACAGCAATACAAGACACACACACACACACACACACACACACACACACACACACACACACACACACGGTGTGTAATATGATAATGTGCTATTGTTTTTTGGTGATAAATCACATCACAACCAACTTTTCTAGGTATGACTGAGTGTGACAAAAACAACTAGTGCTCCGTAACTGCATAAACTGCATAGTAACAAGTAGCCAATCAGATGTCAGCATTATAGAATAATGTAAGCTGGGGGTGGCATTATAGAGAAATGTCTAACTTTTTGTAGTGGGCTAAAGGCAATAAAATAAATAAGATGCAAATATTCTAGCACAGTAGTCAAGCTTAATCATTCTGCATTTCTTGTGCACAATAATGAAGTCATATTTTTTCAGTCTTAAATCCATATTTAAGCATTGATATGACTTTGACACAATCTTACACCCATACTTTTACTGCATACATTTACTGGTCTTTATACTCATAGTTCACCATAGCATTTTAACATGTCGCTACTGTTTTGCTGGCAAATTCTGTCCATTTCAGCTTCATAATAAACCTCACAAAAATTAAATATATTGTGTAAACGTCTTCAAAGTGTCATGATGTTGCATTTTCATCATATCACTCTTCCTTAACACACACGCAAACACACACTCACACACACACTCACTCACAGAGTGACAGAGAAGCCACAGAGAGAAAAGCAGACAAAAGAAGGGTAATGCCACTCTAGTCTATGGGGTGTTCAGTGTGAGAGCCAGGCTTTACTGCCTTGCACCAGCAGTGACAAACATGCCCAGCTTTTTCAAATCCATTTAAAAGTACTGCACAGTCATCACTTGACCCCTTTCAGCCACAGCCAGCCTCAAAACTGAACCTAGAACAGCTCTGTGGCCATGTTGAGCAACTAAGCTAGAGTGTCACCGTACTTTTGCAATGGAAGTTCAACATTTTTGGTGTGCTACAATTAAGAAACCAAACCGAGAGCATTCCACTGGTTGTGAAAAGATTTTCTCCCCTTTGGAAGGATCCCAAACAGACTGGCAGCAGTAAATGTGGTCCTTTCTGCCTAGGTTTTCTGAGTCAGGGATGTGGTGGTGTTTGGGTAGCCAGGCTGGACGTCCTGCTTCAGCAAAAGAGGGTAAAAATGCCACAGCTTTTTCAGTATGAGGTCTGTGCCCATCTTAATCATTACCACATCACTGAGCTGAAAATATTTCATTTTTTTCCCCTGAGGCAAAACACACCCCAATTTAGTTTTAACATGAAGAATAACGGATTTAAATGACAGCTACAGTTTACTGAGGGATTTGAATAGACAGCAGCAGCAAAGCTGCTCACTAAGGGTACACAATATCCATCACAATTTCAGTTCTCAGTCTTTTACTGAGATACAATAACTTGGACCAGACAAAACAGCTTTGTGATAAATTTGGGCTTAGAATGTATTTTAACCCATTATTTTTAACCCATTCATGGCGGATGGATTCATGCAGAGCGTTATAAGGCAAAATAGTCCCCAAATAAAACTCATTTTTATATGATTTATACCCATTTTACCACCATCACCATCTCTATTTAACCACCACCATCATCAAAAACTCATAAGACATGTCTGAGAGCACAGGCGTTTTTGAATAGTAAACAAAATAGTGGCTATGTTTCTGCTGTACACATGGCGACCCCTGGTTCCTATCACTACCACTGTAAAGAAATCTGAGTGGGTAACTTTCTCTATAACGAACCCCTTCATATCATCCCACTGTGAATGGCCTTGTTTACGTTTCTAGGACTAAATCATTCAAGAATTTTGATAAAATGGTGGCATTCCCCTTTAAGTACTGACGATATCCACGATATGCTCAGAAAACCGAATTGCATTTGTTTAATTTCAAACCACAATAACGGTAAAATATGGTCATATTACCCACCCCTACCGCCCACCGCGTCAAGCCGGACGCTAATGTGACCACAAGAGCACTCAGGAAGGGGCTACAATTGCCAGAAGGTAACAATTTAACTACAAGTCCAGCTTAAATGACTTTGGCTCCATCCGTGTGGTTAATGTAACACTCGTGGTTTAGCCACAGTCACAAACAAGCGTTCGCGTGTTTGCAGTTTACAGAGGGTTTACTTAGTTTTCACACTGTATTCGTGTTTTAAACGAAGATTCGCACTGACAGTCCGCTCTGCTTGTCCAGCTGTATTCAGAGAAGGTATAACTGTTGAGAAATCTGAATAAAAGTGAAGAAAACTGAGTTCTTACCTGAGCTAAAACAGCGATGAACCAGCTAATCAGACGTTAAGCTAACAGCTGCCACCTGTGTGACGCACGCGCCGTTCGCGCCAAAAAGAAAGCAGAAAAGTTGAAAGCTAAAAAAAAAAAACAGCCCAAACAGGTGACGGTCAGGATTTATCTCGGACAGCAGGAAACAAGATGCTGAAGTTGTTCAGAAGAGCCTGTCTCCGTCCCTGCGCTCACACCAGACCTGCTGCTGAAGCCTCTCGGCGCTGAAACCTTTATTCAGTGCGGTCCGTCCATGTGACCAGATTCCTCAAACGGCGCTCTGGCTTCACTGAGGAGCAGCGAGGATGCAGCAGCAGCACCATCCACCAAACACTCCCCGCTTCGCCCGCCTGCCACGTGTAGCTATCAAAATAAAGCCTGAGGGATGGGCAGGGCGGGCGAGGTGGCACATGGGGCGTGTCGGGTGGGTGGGGTAAAGACTCCGATATTAATTTTTTCCCCTCCAAACGCGGATGATGAAGGGGGACGGTTGCCCTCATTGCGCCACCTGTTGGTGTCGAAGTGTGCTGACCTGAGAGAGAAATGCTCACAGACAGGGTTCAGTCTAAGAGTTTGTTATGGAAAGCAGTTTTAGCTTGTAGTCCAAAGGTTTTGACATCCGGGATTCAGTTTGAACGCTAGTACAAGTATAAATATCTACATGTTAAATGGTAAACTTCTATGGAGCCTTTCAAAAAAGGTAACAGCCTTTTTTGCGTTCTCTTGCAATAATTACGCATTCTCTCGCAATTATTTTGCCTTCTCTCACAATTATTTTGCATTCCCTCCCAATTATTTTGCATCCCCTCGCAATATTTTTGCATTCCCTCGCATTTATTTTGCATTCCCTCGCAATTATTTTGTATTCCCTTGCAATATTTTTGCATTCCCTTGCAATTATTTTGCACCCTCTCACAATTATTTTGCATTCCCTCGCAATATTTTTGCATTCCCTTGCAATTATTTTGCACCCTCTCACAATAATTTTGCATTCCCTCACAATTATGTTGCACAAATACAATGGATTTGGCAAGGGAACACAAGATGCTTGCATTTTTTGCAATGGCACTTTAGAGGCTCAGCAAAATTCTGAAGTGAAACTTTTACTAGTAAGAATTTTAACTGGAGCAACATTTTTACAATATGAATTCAATTTAAACACATAGTAATTCACTTTAAAATTAAAAATTGACACAAAATGTATAATGTGACATCGAAATTCTAATTATTTCATGTTTTGATTTATTCCATGTGAACTGAATTGTTACATGCTCCACATGTAACTCACTCCATGTGACAATATAAAAACTATTTTTAGAAAATCCGTACTTCTACGAACTATGTTTACATATAATAATTAAAGAAAGGAATAATTTAAAATGTAATAATTAGAGTTCCATCATTATTTTTATTGTTGAAATTGAATTTTAAAATTTCAAATGTGGACTGGTTATAGGGCATTGCACTTCAGTAGAATAGGCTGCTATAATAACCACAAGTATCCAAACTCATAAAAACTTGCAGAGAAGTACAATATGTAGCATTTAAAGTTGTCAAGCGAGTATCAAAAGAGAATTTATTACAAAATCATAGAGCATATAGAGAGTTGGGGGTAATTATTGTGTAAAGGGTAGTTTAAGGTGGTGGGCCACTCACTCTGGCAAGATGATGAAAGGGTGATATTTACAAACCAGCACACTGTTTTAGCTTTTATCTGGTGGTTGGCAGTTTCATGAACATGTTCTCAGTCATATACTGAAATCACATGAACATAAATAGGTACATGACAGTTAGACATTTCACCATCATCCTGCCTTGCATTAGTTTGACTTTAGAGAACATCAGTGTTGTTTAGTTCTCAGGAAACCCATTTGAATTGAATTTGAGTTGAGTCCTGATGCATAATTAGAGATGGCATGATAGCACTTTCTCTTTTCCAATGTCAATACAGATAGTAGCAGTGGGCAATATGGCAAAAATAATAAAAGCACTTATAAGCAAAATACATCCACCAGACACTGATGTGTCACTGATGTTCCTCAAACAATGTACCATAACTGACATTACTGGTAACTCATTCATGAGGGAGGTTCACTGACTGCAAACATGAAGTTCTTTCATAAGAACATGTCAGCATGAAGAAACGCATCCTGTGGTTCTTCAGCTAGCTTTCAGTTTGAGGCTGCATTAATGTAACTTCTTAAACACAAACCAACATGAAGCAGCATCTTGGTTTCCCCAGAACTTGCCGTGTAGCTGTGTTGCAATTAGTCCTTACTTTTCTATGAAATCAATGACGCACTGTTTTTTGTTCAGCATTGGATATATTTATTTGACTGTTATCAAAATCTGTGAGTACCATAGATGCTGAAATACACTGTGTGGTCAATAAAAAATATATTATATTTGAAGTCTGATAACAGTTTTAATATCTGTACAACATACGGCATATAAGTCAGTTTCAGCTGTCAGAAAAACATTTAAAAAGGAACAGAATACTCGAGTTAGAAAAGAAGTCAGATATTTCAAATAATACAAACCCAAAGCAGAGCATTCTAAACATCTTATTTTTGCAACTTCACAATTTCCAAAGTAACTTGTGGTTGGTCTTACACCTCTTTTACAGCGTGCACATACGTTCTACGATGGAGAATGTCAGGAATGTTTATAAAGACGTCAACTTTTAGGTTTGAAATTACAGCGTAGTACAGTTGATGGTCAGGGATAATGAGACATAATTGGGCTGCACTCAGAATTACATGTGTCAACTGTTTTGTTGGTCTGAGTTTATACTGTTGTTTTTCATCACGGTTATTTTTGCCTGAAACACTGAAAGTACATTTTATATTATACTGGTATGTTAACTTTCAATGTATTGAAAGGTTCAATAAGAAATGAAGAATGGGAGCCCATACCTTTTTGCCACTGCCTGTCTAATACTTTAGAGCACAGGACGTGGGAAAGTGGGGGGTGCTGAGGGGGCCACGCACTTCCCAATTTTCAGGATTGCTTAACTGCAACTGCTAAAAATACTTTAAAAAGTATTTGTTTTGTTTTATTTATCATTTTACTGCAAAATCTGCAGTAGCCATGCACTGTTTAAAATAACGTTGCATTTTCATTACACTGGACGAGGTCACTCTCCAAATGTTGGGTCACTCTGGGAGTGTGTCGCTAAAACACAAGCAATATTAGCAGCCTAATATTACTAATATTTTTTTATAATAACAGTAAAAAAAAAACTAATCCCACATTTTGAACATATTTTTTTTCCAACCATAATGTTCTCCGCACAATGTGCGTTCGGGTACTGAATTTTAGCTTGACTATGGGTGTGATGAAATTGGCTTATGTGCCAAATATCAACAATCTGATTGGTCCCCTCTCAGTTAATTTGCATAATCTCAATCCAGAAGGAAGGAGAGTGAGTGCAGCTGGGTGTGCATCAGTGGCATCTGTTATATGTGCATATACACTGATGCAATCAGTACACTGTGTTGCCAGTTTATTCAGTACGTCTACCATTTAGCTACACTCTTTGGCCTTTTTATCAGAAACACCTACCGCATAGGTTCACTTTGTAGGTTTATGGTTACAGATTGTAGCCCATCTGTTGCTGCACAATCTATTAGCCATCTCCTACTCCGTCCATCAATGGAAACTATAATGGGACCACTGCTGACCACAAATTATTTGGGTGGTGGACAGCACATCAGTGACACCATGGTATGCTAGTGCATATGTCGCTGGTATGAATGTATCACGTATCACACGTTGTTGGGGGTTTACACACTGTGTACCTTACAGCATCGTTCTGTCAACCTACGCTACACATCCCAACGCTCCACTTTACATTCTGGGGTCAGTTATGCATGAACTACTTCCTTTGTCCATCACAAATATCTCACCAAAAGCCTCTAGAATGCAGAAGAGTGAGTTGTTCATTCAATAGTGCCTCCACATAAGCCTGAGTGATAGAGTAAGAGATAACAGAAGCTGTAGCATCAAAGTTTGCTGTTGCTATTGTGTGGATAACATCAAATGGATTTCAGCTAAGCCAGCAAAAAAAAAACAAAACACTAATATTATCTGTGACGTTGGTGTAAATCACAAAGTTGAAAGCAGTCCCTCTTTCCAGACGCGTGCATTTCCTCCTGCTGGTGCAGAGTATTCACAGGGCCGTGCTTTTACAAATCTGAAAGGCAGGATGGAAGTCATTTGTACACAACAGAGTAAACCAGAAGCTCATCATGGTGATCAGCATTAGTTGTGCCGTGAAATAAGCATGTGCTTGGATATGAAAATGTTCATGAACTCTAAGGTTTGATAGAGCAAGTCTGTTGTATCCTATGGCAACACTCCAGTCCAGCAAGTATCCATGGCCACCTGTGAGTCGGTCAATGATGATGGTGGGTTGGTTATTCTTCTATTCCACACAACATCTCTGCCATTGCCAATACAGCCAGGGAGTGCTTGTGAAAGCACACACACACAGAGAAGTGCTCAAAATGTGAATGAAGTGTGCATGCAAATGTTCTGGCGGTTGAAAGTGATGAATGAGATGATCTAGGGACAGAAGTATGAGTGCGTATGTGTGCATGAGTGGATCTTCTTGTTAATCGGTGAGTAGGCCTGGAGCAGCAGTGGATGTGCTTGCCAAACAGTCAGTTAAGCATTTGTAAGGAGTGTTTTCACACAGGTGCCACATAGTTGCCAGGGAATGTTCCGAAAGCATGGGTCCTCTCAGACGTACCTGCAGAGAAGAAAAGATTTAAAATGAAAAAGTGAACGACCACTAAAGGGTTTCACTAAAGCTGGGCTGAAGAGAAACAACGTTCTTCCATAGCCTCATACGCACATGGACTGTGTTTGCAGGACCACACAATCAAAAGTCAGAAAGACATAAACTACTTAGAGTGGACTCGACCATTTGTAAAATTCAAAGGAAGTCTCACTTCTCTTATTTATTGTTGCTGTGTCCATCAAACTTTCAGTAAAGACCACCTGGTAGCATCTGTAACACCTGTAGTAACAGCAGGCCCAGAATATTGAACAATTCAGATGTTCGTTGGGTGGGTTCGGTTTTTGATTTTGCGATTCTGATTTTTTTTGTTGTTTGTCTGAATGTAGGCTATCAATAAAGGTGAGTTGCAAACTACTGTAATGTTTGGGGTTTTCAGGAGAAACTTAGATGACTCGAGGTTATGTGCTGAAAACAGTGCTGAACAGGGCGAGAAGAAACAAAGCCTCTCCAGCACTAATAGCTAAAACACAGGCCTCTACTCCAAAAAAAGCTAACCAATCCACTCATATTCAGGCTTTTCAACATAAAAGTCCTTGTATGAATGAACCTAAAATAACTCAACATAAACATTTCTTCTAAAAAAAACTAAACTACTTTTCACGTTTTGTCAGCATTCTATATAGTATATATATTCTATATATTAGTATATATTCTGTACTATATTTATACTTTTTTAATTGCACTGTTAAAATGTGGAAATATATACCATCTTGGCTCTAGTGATATCCCGCTCACTCATAGCAGTGAAGATCATGCTAATGCGGTGCTAGACAGCATGTATTCCAAGGGCAGCTACAAACACTGCCCCGCCGTACTGGACCCTTACAAGGGCCATGATGTATGCCCTCAGTACCTCGAATTAGACCACCTCCTTGAAGCGCCGGTTAACCCGTGCATGCTGTGCTATTGCCCCTTAGCCTGCCACTAAGAGAGACTAGCAGGCTAGCAGGTAAGCTTTAAGCTAAATATGTATGTAGCCAGTTTAAAGCAAACATAAAATGGATTCTGGAAACCATATTTACATTAATCAAACCAGGGAAATCATTTAGTCATTCAGTGTTGAAGTGGTAGGTTTTCAAGTCTGATAACGAGTAGATTTTAGAGACAGAAGCTGACCCTTCAGATGAGCTACTGCTAAAGCTAACACTGAAGCTAGTCAGATGCTGAGGAGGACTTGCCAATGTTTAGCTAACTTTACTGAAATAGTACAAAGTTTTCAAGTGTATTAATCCTTATCTTTACACAATGTTTTAATCACTAATATGAGCTCTGTACACTCCTGTTTAATCAGACTGATTTATCAAGCTCCTAAGTTAAGAAAAGATAACTAGTTTGCTATATAACCCTAATGTTTTTCTGTAATGATACTTATTGTTAGACATGATTTTGAAATTATTTTTCATAAATAAAGTTTAGCTTTTCTGTCTGGTAATAGTGTCCACATCTAGTAATGACTTTGGTCTTTTGGAATAAATAAAATTTTCTTCAGCTTCAGGAATGAAATGTAAACAGCTCCACCCTCCAGATGATCAGGATAGCCTGTGTCAAGCATTATACATTCTTCAGTAACATCTTTCCACCATTTTTAGTCAAAAAATTCTAACTAATTTACTGCCACTGCTGTTCTTACTGCAGGTTTTTTTTTCATTTACATGATGAAGTGTGAAAACTATATACAACTGTAACCACAGCATAGCACTGTAAAACATAGAATGATGCCAATTTTATTAACTGGTTTAAAAGCATAGCATTGTTTAAGTGATAGGCTGCTTATTATTATACATAATAAAGCATAATAAATGTCAGCTAAATATATATTACAGCAGGAATGTGTGAATAGATCTACCTAGAAATAGCAAGCCAAATGTTCAAAATCCAGTGCACTGTTGGGCAACTTTCACTCTTTGAATTGTTTTTGTATGTTTCCGGGGTGTTTTTGTAGTGACACATAATGTCCTGTAGAGGGCAGCCATGTCAAATAGGCACATGTGATTTAATCAATTCTCCAGACACAATAATGCAATAATCACTATAATCATTGATGATCAATGATCTCCTCTTTGTTGAAACACCTTCCTTTTCTCAACACAAACTAGCATATAATGTTTATTGCATATTTTTACTTCCAATTTCAGTTTCAGGACTTGGTAACAGTGCATGCTTTATTTATATTTATGACATCTGTGAATGAATTGCTTCGCTCAGCCATTGAGCTGATCAGCTCACCAAACAATCAGTGTTCAGCAGCAGTAAAGTTAGTGTCCTAACTATTCAGAATGAATGACTAGTAACATTTAGTTAGCATTTTAGCACTCTAGCATTCAGTACTCTGAGTCTCCCATGTGCCCTGTAGAGTTCTGTTTTTGGTCAGTCATGTTTTGGTGGAATGGGATGAATAGGAGGCGGTAAGGCTCCTTGTACAGTCTTATGCAAAATTTTGTAATTTTGTCAAATTACATGTTTTGCTGACTACAAATTACATGTTTTGCTGACTACACATCACAACACAAAATTACTGTTATATATGTTATAAAAATGTCATATTTAAATTTCTTCCCAGCAGTTTTTAAAGTTTCTTCCATGCAATTTGACCAGGGTGTTCAAACTTTTGCATGCAACTGTAAACTGGCTCTGGTTTCCAGGCTGAGGTAGCAGTTTGGTTACAGGACAGTCATATTGTTTATGATGTAAAGGGGACATTACCTACAAACCAGCCGTCATCACACTTCTCCATCACCTGGACGATGTCTCCCTCCCGCAGCTCCAGCTCATCCCTGTTCTGGGGTTTGTAGTTATAAACGGCCTTATACCTGAGAGAGAGAGAGAGAGAGAGAGAGAGAGAGAGAGAGAGAGAGAGTCAGAGAGAGACGGTTAGGAAAACATTTCCAGAAATAGCTGATAATCTGCATATAAATCACATTAATCAAATTGCTGTTGTCCTGCAATAGCTTTTATGGATTGGACAGACATAATAAAGGAGTACAGTATCAGTATTAAGCAGAGCTCCTTTGACTCACGGCTGCCGTGGTATGACAGCAGAGCTGCTGTTGACAGGCGACTGCGCTGACGGTGGAGTCTTTACATGCGTGTAATGCTGGGGAGAGTGTGTTCTGGTCCCATCCTGAACAAAGATGTTACAAGACTTACATTAAACAGCTTACATATGGCCCACCTGATCAGCAGTGTCTGTTCAGGGTGTTCTGGCTGTTGTGAAGGTTTAAAGATTTAGCTTAAAGCCCCAGGGAACCTAAATAAGTGTTTACTTTCTAAGTGCATTAATATTCCTCTTGTGGGTATATTTACACAATATGCAAGTACAGAATATTAGAACCTCACCCAGATAGTGCTCAGATAGATCTCATAAGAAGTTTTTAAGCAGTGTTTTGTTTTATTTCTATGTTTTTTTTTTATTACAGCTTTGCTAGATGCTCAATTTCACCCTTAATTTTAGTATCATACTAACATTTTTAATATTTTATACCATGTTCCCTGGGATTTTAAAGCAAAGGTTCAGCCAGAAACCTAATTTACACAAATTTCCCCTTAACCTAAATGTAGTCAATCAGTTAAGACTCGTTTAGCGTACAAAGTTTGCTTCTATACCTTTGCACTATAGCTACAAAGCTAATGTGGTGTCAGAATGCCATAGAGTGTCAGAAACCACATGAGCAGGTCTACTTGAGATTTATTAATAACTTAACACTGTTTGAGGCAAGCTTGTGATGCTAATTAGTGGCTATAAGCCTCTAATACTCCCCTACATTAAGGTGTAATACTCCCCTGAATCTCCAGTGCAAAACTAAAGAAGCAAACTTAAGACACCTAATCAATGCTAATGCTAATCAACTATGTTTGGGGTACTTTAATAGTGCACAAAGCTCCTAACTGAGGAATGAAATACTCCTCAAAGTGAGATCAGAATACGTCATAAAGCATCAATGTTAATACCTGAGTGGTATATGAAGGCCGTGGGATGGAATTCGCAGCCAGTCCTGGACCCTGAGGAGACGGCATCACATGATTGGATGGTGACACAGGTGACCTCACTTCTCTGTCCAGTGAGCTGTAAGCTGAAGGCTGCGGTGATCCACTCCAGTGGCTGTTGGGTGGGGTGGGTGAGCCCGGGCCAGGCGAGTACACAAAGTGATCAGATGGCTGTTTTGTGGTGGCGGGCTGTGTGGGTGAGAGGGGCGAGCGTGATTGGCTGGAGTGTTTGTGGGGTGAAAGCAGAGGCTGAGGGCTGTGAGAGGAGGGGGAGAGTGAGGGGGAGAAGGGGGAGTGCAGGGGCCTGCCGGGGCTGCGTGGCTCCAAGGCAATGGGGGACAGAGGAGCGACTGAAAGGTCATCGGCCATTTTGGTGCGGGGCATTTTGTTGACCTGGACATAGTTAACAGGGAAAATTCCACTGCGGTTGGTGCCGGGGATGCGACCCTCCAGCCAGTGATCGTCCACACGCCGGGTTATAGAGATCACCTCTCCCTGAGAGAAAAAGACAGAGTGTTCAGTGGAAAATCAAACACAACTATCCCCTTCCTACAAACATAGCTGACCATGTTTGGTTTCTGCAGATAGCTTTGTGCTATCTGCATGCCTTCATCATCAGACACTTTCGTTGAGTTGAGCAGCCATATGGTCATAAAAACAGTCATAATTCATTTCACATCATCATTTTCTAACCTTTCTTTATGTCTTAGAATCAAACAGGTTGTTTTCTGTTAAGACTGATATATGTAAATGAATTTCTGAATGGCTTCTCTGTATTGTGCCTCATTCAAAAAGTAGTCCAGGCTAAAAACTCCTTGTAACTTCAGTGTGAATGAGTGAGTGGATCAGACACAGCAGTGCTGCTGGAGTTTTTAAACACTGTGTCCATTCACTGTCCACTCTATTAGACTCTCCTACCTTGTTGGTCCACCTTGTAGATCTAAAGTCAGAGACGATAGCTCATCTGCTGCTGCACAGTTTGTGTTGGTCATCCTCTAGTCCTTCATCAGTGGTCACAGGACGCTGCCCACAGGACGCTGATGGCTGGATATTTTTGGTTGGTGGACTATTCTCAGTCCAGCAGTGACACTGAGGTGTTTAAAAACTCCAGCAGCACTGCTGTGTCTGATCCACTCATACCAGCACAACACACACTAACACACCACCATCACATCGGTGTCACTGCAGTGCTGAGAATGATCCACCACCCAAATAGTGCCTGCTCTGTGGTGGTCCTGTGGGGGTCCTGACCACTGAAGAACAGGGTAAAAGGGGGCTAACAAAGTATGCAGAGAAACAGATGGACTACAGTCTGTAATTGTAGAACTACAAAGTGCTCCTTTATGATAAGTGGAGCTGATAAAATGGACAATGAGTGTAGAAACAAGAGAGTGTACTTAATGAAGTGGCCTGTTGGTGTGCGATGTCACACTGAATTCAAACCGGGCCGTTTTGCAGCTCAGTTTCCATATATTGACTGTATGGACTGCAAAATAAATGGTATGTTTTGAAACTTTACCAAACTTTTTCTTTTAAAATAGTGTGGAAATTCAATTTTCCATGATATGGGCCCTTGAAATAATTTCAAATTGACTTGCTTATGTGGTTTCTAATGCTGAATCATACTGTTCTCTATAAAAATGAATAGAAGTAGAGACGAAGTTTAAGCTTGAAGATACTGCTAATATTACTTTTTAACTTTACAACATGCCTAAGATTACTTGACACTGTCTGAGGTAAGTCTGTGATGATGTAGGCCTGCAGTATGTACAATGCTAAGTGGTACATATAAGCTTTCATTATCTTGTTTGTTTTTTTAGTGCAAAACAAAATTTTAGCAAGAGAGTGCAGTTATGTACGTTTGACTTTTGCTGAAACATTCATTTAAGCATAATCAGATGAAGAAACATAGTAAGCAAACAATAAACAAAAGAATTATGACGAACTGAACAATAAATGATAAGAAGCAGGTAAGTTGGCTACTCACTAATATAATATCAAATTCAAAATGGGTGTTTATTTTTCAAATAACAATACATTTTTTTCGGTTTCAACATTTGATATATTGTCGTTGTACAATATTAAATTAAATACATGGCTTAAATGATTTGCACATCATTGCGTTCTGTTTTTATTTATATTTTTTGTACAGCATCCCTACATTTTTGTAGATATGTTGAGGGCTGTAAAGAATCAAGACTGTTGGTTCTTTATAAGTAAATGAGAGAATTCCTACAATAACTCTCTTAATACAACAGCACAGTTTAGTTACTGTAACCTGACATTAGTTTGTGTGACACTGAAGCAATAAGAACTGTGTGTGGCACCTTCCGGAAGGACAATTCCACGGGCAGATCAGCGGTGAAGTTGAAGAGGGCCACAGCCTCTCCATACTCCAGCACCTGCATGGTGGGAGACTTTATCGGGACGGGTTTCTCCGTCGGGGGAATAATCTGCTCAGAGAAAGAGAAAAGGAGGGAAGGAAGGAAGGAAGGAAGGGAGGGTGAGGCTGAGTACGAGGTGTACTTAAACAACAAAGACCACATGCACAACACACGCACCTCCACGTAGCTGGTGGGGAAGATTCCTGCTCTGCCGTGGTGCTCTCCTTCATACCAGTTGGCATCGATCTGGCGATGGATGTACACCACATCACCCTTCTGCAGGGTCAGCTCCCTATTGAGCATGTAAATATAAAATTAATGAATAAATAGTAACTAATAAATGATAAAATAAATATATATTAATAATAAACTCATAGCAATAACACAAATAGTAACAACACTACTGTTACTACTATTAGTAATATTAAAAACCTGATTAAAATGGGTGATAGAGTTCTATGCAAAGGTCAGAGAACACTTTCATTTATTTAATTTCCAGTCAAAACAGGCATTAAGTACAAGTAAAAGAGGAACATTTGCACAACAGAACACCGAAACTGGATATCCAAGATGTGGAAAGCTTTACAGACTGATGAGTTTGAATTTATAATTGGGATTACTGGGATTGTGAGAAGCAGAAAATGCAACCAACGTCTAAGACTGAACTTTGGAGGTGTGGACAGATATGCATGCAGATTTCTGAAAGCAAGAGTCTCAAAAACAAAATGAGTGGACACACTAAATACTGAAAAAATCATATTATATTTAGTTGATGAGGCTTTTGTTAAATTTTTGTTTTCTTTCCTGATGCTGACAAATGAGTAACTTAAAGAAAAACAAAATTAATAATGTAATTAAATAAATGAAACACAGCTTCTGACATTGGCAAGTACTGTAGATGACATACAAAATAAATCTGGATGATAATATTTTTTAAAAAGTTCATTTTTCCCTTATCTTTGCTTCTCTAATCTATGGAATTTTACTTATGTCTAGTAAACAAATGACTCAGTTGACACTCATAATAGGTATGCAAGTCTGTCTGTCAGATTACATAAGAATAGAAATAAACTACAAATTTAACATCCTTGGAATGAAACAGATCCCCATGGGATTGTGCAGCAGTTCTGAATGTGAATACAACCAAATCACTGTACCCTGCAGTCTTCTTTAACTTCACAAGTGCTACCTGATATGGGCTGCATACAGAGGAAGTGGTACCATCATATGTGGAACACTAGTGGGTGGAAATTTCCGGTAATCGTGTAACACAGACTGAGACACGCATTCTGAAAGGTATTAAGTATAGCCATTGCTGTTGAATACAGTAAGCTGAGCAGGGCCTCCTCAGTTATTACTGCACTTGACTGACCCTAGTCCTCCTAAATCCCTGTAATCAGACATCACCAGAAACCATGTTATGTGCTCTCGTCCAAAATGTGTAAACATTGCCACCTATTGGAAAAGCCAATACTGCAAGATGTCAAGTGTCTCTATTCTGAGCTTCACCTGGAGGCATGTAACTGTACATCTGTTCACATCATTCTGTCTGTTTCTATGCGTTCTACAGTATATATTATTATATATTACGGCAAATATTGAAAAATTACAGATCAGCTCGACCTATTTTATTGTATCTATTATCTATTTTCAACCCATCAAAATCCATCATAATAGCTTGAAGTGGCTCAGTGTACCAAGCTACCAAGGAACACAATTTCTCATAAAACACTAATCTAAAAAAACCTACTGGACAGATAGTCAGTGATTTGGTGTTTCTAGGCTTTGTTTTCACAATAGTAATCTATGTTAAAGATGAACTCTGTAAGACTTTTTCATTAAATCCTAAGGGAAGGGGTTTGAAACACAACCAACATTACAAAGTGGTCTTCTGCACATTGCATGTAATTGCATATTTCCACCAGAGAGGTCTCCAAATCCCCAAATCCTAAATAGTGCAGTTTTAAGCTGTTTCATTGTCGGTTTTATTGCAATTTAGCTCATGAAAAAAGCTTAGTGTGAAACTTTATGTAAGATTACAGGGTTTGGAACAGTAATATGTGACATATATATGGTTATTGTTTTATTGCACTGAGCCATGTTATGCTTTGGTGTTCCTAGACAACTGTTGTAGTATATTAAGCTATGTAAAGCTTTTTTTCCTTACAATCAGTTCCAATGGGTATAAAAGTTTAGTGTAAAAGTGAGTGCTTTGTCTTTGAGTTACAGTTTTTCTTATCTTATTCTGGGATATTTTGGTATGTTTACAACCAGTAAGATCTAAGAGGAATGCAGTGTTATTGGATCACTGTTTTAGTTCATTAAGCCACATGAATAATACTTATAATAATATGTTCTATTTATGGTCCAGACATGTTGGTGTTGGTTTATACTCACTTGGGCGACTGTGCTTGGAAATTGAATTTGGCTCTTGCTGCTTTCATCTGTGAATATACAGACAAACCCACCATCAGACAAGTTTATTAAGGATATTCATCATGACTAGACCCAGAACCCAAACCCCACTGTACCTTCTTCTCCTCTCTCTTTGGTGGGAAGTCCATATCTGCAGACACACACGCTGTTCTGTCTGCGAGAGGACACATAAGACAGGTTGAAAGATCAAGCCTCCCAGATTAGCATGTAATTCCACAATAACATTTTAAAATGTGTTCATTCAAATATGAAGCAACTGCTAGTAACACATAAAAATGATGCTTGACTGTGTTATTAAAATAGCTCATGAACAGATCAGGATCAACCAGCCTGAAGCTTGAATTGTGTCAGTTATTTTGTCCGTCTCTGTATACAGCAATATGTCATTCAATATGCTAATGATAACTGATGGGGTATTAACTTCCATAACTCAAGTACAAAACTAAAGAACCAAACTTCAGACACCAAACATGTTTTTGCTGACACCAAACATGCAGCCTGATAATCCATTAATAATCTGACATTAACATGTCCATGTATACACCTCAGTCAGGATACCTCAGTCGGAATACATTAGTCAGAATACACTAGCGAGGTGGGTAATCCTGTAAATAATACATTAAATAGAAGAATAATAACCATGTAAATGACTGTATCTGATTACATTCCCAGTCGGAAGTTTAAGTATGTTTTGCGCACGTGCGTCGCGTCATAGCGAAAGTTTATAACGTTCAACATGGCAGGAGCAGAAACTGGTCTGCAGAGGAGACAAAGTCCAGGCGTCCAGCTTATGTGTCTCAGAACATGCCGTCTTCCTCTCGTCCTTCTTTAATAAGCACATGTGAAGTACAGTTTCCTAAGTCTGCCATCATTTAAAAGCAATTAACTATACAAGCACTGCTTACTGCTGCTCGACTGACTCTGACTGGACTCACATGATGCTCGTCGTCATGGTAACGTCTACACTACGGGTGTAATGTTGGATCGGATTACTTGTAGTGTGCATGTGAACAGAGAATCAGATTGTTGAGTAGAGAGCATATAAACACCTCAGTCATTATTAATCTATAATCGGAATCTTTGCTTGTAAACACAGCCACTGATAAGTGGGAGTGGCGGGGGGGCGCTAAACCTGATACTGTGGCGTCTGCCATGGGCCACGCTGCTGTGGGCGCTTGGAAAGCATAGCCATGCAAAGAGGTTAAAAAGATACTGTTGCCATGCTTTGGCTATTGTTAGTTTAAGATGCGTCATATGCTATATGTTGCATACGTTTTATTGTGTGGGGCTGTGTGATAGTAAGAGTGGGAGTTAATGTCTTCCTTCAAGTGAGGATGTATGGCTAGAAGTAACCCGCCTGCTATCCCACTGTATTCAGTAGTGCTGGGCGGCGGTTTCTCCTTGCTGCCTGTTAAATAAAAGAGCACTTGCAGGCATGCATAGTATCTCCTGTGTCTTATTCAACGCTGTCGCCACAATATTACTGGTTACAGTTTCTTCCCAGCCCCACTGATATAATCAAAAACCAGTAGACATTTTAGAGGCTGGCAAAAGTCACGGCCCTTCAAACCAAGATTATGGGAAATCAACAATTTTTAAATGATACAATTTGAAGAATTGTGCTTATGAGCAGGGACAAGGTAAAAACAGCCCTTATGGACTTCAAGTTGACTTTACATATGATTGAATATATATTTATAAATCAAGGATATGTCGTAGTTTAATAAAACACTGATGTAAGGCATAGCATGCTAACGGCAAACACTGTAGCATGACTTGTTCACTCTTAGTCATGCAACTGGTTCAGGGGGGCTGTACTGTTCCAGATTAAGCTGAGCAGAGAGTAACAGAGTGAAATAACCTGTTGGAACAGACTTAAGCAAGAAGGAGTTAGCCATGCTTTAAAGCACTTGGGAAGAAATGGTCAAATAGTTGATCTGTGTCCAGCTCAGCAGATATCATACTGTGTTTACAGTGGCAACGTCTCTGTCTCTGTCTCTCTCTCCTAATTTCCAAGAAAAACAACTGGCTAATGCTAATCTATAATCAAGACCTCCACCTTCACTCTTCCTTCTCTGCAGTTCCTGCCTTACCCAACTACTGTATGCCGCTCTCTGTGGAGTGATTAAGCATGCTCTATGCTGTTTTTAGAGCTTGTGCTTGTGCCTGTGTTCATCGAATACCACCCAGAGGTGAGGAAATCCGAAACAATAACGAGGCAAAGATCATTGTCAGTTCCTGGAATCCCTTGGAGTAAAGCTGTAATGGTGTGAAAGGTCATAAAAACCAAGCGAATTGTATGCTATTATTGTCTATATTCCTCTATTGTTTACATAGTTCCTCCAATCACAGTTTTTGAAAACAATCAAAGGGCTTCCCTTCCAAAACACATTAAAGAGTTCTCTTTATTTCCATGGCGTACGTTGCTGGGAGTGGACGTTTACATCTACAAGAAAGATCAGTGCTGTATTATAATTATTGCCACCTTTATTAGAAAAATAAAAGTTATTTTCCAGTATACATCAGCTCTTATTCTTTTCAAAAACTCCAAGATTGTTAGGAATATACAGCATTTTAGAATGAAACTCTTCAGCTTCAGATGCAAGGGTACTTTTGTTTCCTCTCTTGTGCATGAATGAGTGAATGAACAACACAGATGGCCAAGAAATAATTAAGCAGCCAATTGTTCGATTACTTAAGGCTTCTATAATGGGGTGCTATATACAAAAGGCCATGACTGCTCAATATTCAAGTGTTTCATCCCAAATCCAATGTGCTACACAAACCGTCCAGAAAAACAACAAAAACTTCACTATTGTACAGTTACTTATGGACTGCATTATAACATAGCTGAATAAGAGAATGGAATAACAGGAGAAAAGACAAAATGATGGAAGAAGGGACAGTTTGAAGGTCATCTCTTACCGTTAGCATGTGTGGTACTAGGTACAAGGTCCGGCTGAACGCTGGAGCAGGGGACTGCTGGGCGACTGAGAGGTGCACCTCCTCCGTCTTTCGTCCCGAGATGCTTTCCTCCAGTCAAATAGCTGAGAGAAAAAGGAAAGACAAGTTGGATGATTTTTAAAGTAGGGTGATACAACATCACGATAATTGATATCATCATGGTACACGACATGTAGCACAATATTTACTTTTTCAGAGATTTGTGAGCAAGTTGGAACAGACAAAATGCACCAGTAAAACAGCAGCTCTGAAAAACTAAGAATACAGTGTTTTTTTATTGTTTTTTTTTTTGTAATAAAACTTTTTAAAGGAATGATTCAACTTACAGCAGATGTACTCCATCAGCCAATACATGTTTGGTATCCAAATTTTGTTTCTTTACTTCAAAATTGGAGCTACGAGGCTAACACTTCTAATAAACACTAGAAGTCAATAGTCACCCAAATCTTTTCCGCAAAAAAGAACACCACAACTACTCAGTGAAATTTTGTTAATTTTTATAGTTCACAGTAAGCCAAACTGTACCGTAACCCACATCGACAAGTCTGTGTGACCTTGATAAAGACCTGAATGAGGTTTGAGCAGGCTGCAAGAAGTTTTGGGGATGTATTTACGGATCAGGGTGACTACTGTCTTGTAGCGTTTGTTAGCGACATTAGCTTTGTAGCTCTAATGCTAAACAAAAGAATTTTGTAAAATTGATATTTTTTGCAGAAAAAGAGAAGAAAATTGTTCAGGATAAAGAAATAAGATAACGGCATAATGGACAGATAAATAATTGACTACTTGCTCCTATGTAGTTTATGCAATTTGTGTACACTGGTTGTTGTTGTTTATAGTTATACTCACAAATATGTGTTGTAATGTTATTTATCACAGTAATGGTAACACATCACCCCCTAGTATGAAATAAATTACTCTGAAATAGTCAGACACACACACACACACAGTAGTGGACACCCAGCTTCCTCTGACCCATCAGCTGACCAATTCTAACATAAACAAAGCTGAAAAACAGCAGCTTCCTAAATGCAAGTCATTTTTGCCATCAGCAAACTCAGATGATCTCACTCAGAGGACAAGCAGGACACACCTCTGGCTAATGGTCTGCTTTAGACAATGGGCTTATCATTACATAATCAGACTCGGAAAGTCTTGTTATTAAACCCTGTCGTCTCTGAGGGTTGCTTGGCTAATGGCAGCTTGCTGCTTATCTGAAGTCTGTTTAGCTCTTCCTCGTTATGATTTAAAGGCACTATTTTAACACTAAAAATATTACATTAGTGTCAAAAGAGCATTGGAAGATAGAAAATTAAACACTGCAATACACACACACACATCTTCTAAACTGCTTATCCTTCTGGGTCGCGGGGGGAGCTGGAGCCTATCCCAACAGTCTGCAATACACAGCATACTAATTATATATAAACGTATCGTCTATTGATTAGCAGAATGAATAAGTAGAATTAGGTGGGATTAAGCACCCTATCCTAGTAGAACTACCCTCACCTGTATGGGTTGAAAAAATATTGTGATCAATCTCAAAGTAGAGTTCAACTGCATCATCTTTAAAATACTACTACTTCTACTACTACCAATACTACTACTAATAATAATAATAATCAGTAATCATGCACTTATTTCTGGGCAAAATCAGGCTAATAAATCAGGAAAATAAATGACCATCCAATACAGAGAACACATTTTTGCACATTTTATTGCCCAGTGACTGTTTATTAGCTACATTTAACATATTGAAAAAAAATAAAAACGTGAAAAAATGTGGCCTGTGCAAATGTTACACTATATTTTATATTTCATATTTTTTTCTAATATGTTGATTTTCACATCCTTTACAGCACAATTTATTCGAGTTTTACATCAAATATGTTAAATTCAGCAAATTAACAGTAATTTTGCTTTAAAATGTGCAGAAGTGTGCCTATGTTAAGGATATATTAACTTATTTTCATATTAAAAAATACATATATGTAATTTGACAAGGGGTGCCAGGGGATGGGTGGAAGGGGGCTCAGACCACAAGGCCCGAGATAGCACTGCATGTGCCAAAATGAACTGAAGGAAAATGCCTTGAATATGCAATCACTATATAAATGAAATGAAGACCCCCTCGACCCATATCCTGCCACAGTGTTTAAAATGAAAAAAGAAAAGTCCCCAACACCAAAAAGGTTCAGAAATCATAAGCTAATGCAGAATAATTATCATATATATAATGTATAAAGTTTCCTTACATTACATTTTTTTAAACAAACACAAGTTATTTTCAGGTCTAAGTTTCTTCTTTATTATTGTCTGGGGTAAGAAGCCTCTAAAGTCTCTTGTGTTCAAGGGCCTCACAAGACCATGATCCATCCATGGTTCTGAGGTGTAGCCAAGGAGTGGCCAGCAGCGGCCAGAATGAAGCATGGCCAACCTTCTGGCTGCGCTTGTTATGGAAAGTGAGACAGTCAGCCATCGTCAGTCAGCCGTCATCAACAAAGTATCAAATGCACTATTTCAGTCATGTGGACAGATTTAGTTATGTACAGAAAAAAAATACACAGCATCACTTTTTGTGTAATTTTGAACTTTAACTGTAAGTTTCATTTATTTATTTTGTGTCACCCAATCAAAGCTCTAAGCCTTAAATGCCACTCCATGCCTTAAATGCCACTCCATGCCTCTTAAATGCCTCTAAGCCACTCCATTCTAAAAGTTCTAGCTACGCCCCGGCCCTAGTTCGGTGCTCAGTGATTTACTAGCGTGTAGCTGTTGTCCAGCCTGATGTGAAGATTAGGCCAGCTCATGGGATCAAGTGTTCTTACAGGTTTCTCCTTCAGGCTGTTCTAGATGTTCAGAATGTTCTAGACTGGAGGAAGCTGTAAAACTCTCCACAGGCTCTTCACCTCGCCTGCATTCTGCTCCACATTTCTGTGGCAACAGCAGCATTTATGGTGTTTTGGCGGTGGAGAGTGAGGACGTAGGGGGAGTGAAGAGGGCCAAAACAGACAATTCATCTTAGCAATAAACACGGCACAGAGAGAGAGTCTGAGGAATGTGGCAGAGACAGAGTGGGACGCGCTGCTGTTCAAACTTTTAGAATCAATGTCTTCAATAAAATAAAATGTTTGGTTGCAGATAAATTCATAAAATGACTCTAACAGAAGTCTTTAGTATCTTCATGGCTTTCAGATAATCAGTCAATTTTAGGTGTCCAGGATGAAGAACAGGGAAGTTGATGATTCCATAATGACCGAAAAGCTGTAACAGCAAGCATGAAGTTCTCAAATCTCGAGGTACAAAACTTGACAAGAAACCACTGTAAATGGATCAGGTTTATGTTCTAAAATCAGTCATAGATCATTTTACATGTCCATTTTAAAACATCCTTCAGAAATAAAACAGGGAGTTCTTGTTACTGTGACTTTAAGACTTATGTATGCAAATGAGTTCTGTTCTGATTAGCTGCCCTGTATTGTGCCTCATTCAAAAAGCAGTAGAGGCTGAAACACACCTTATTATGTCAGTGTGAGTGGGTGGGGCTAAAGTGATGCAGTCAAGGTGATTCTGATCTGAACAGTAGACTATGTGGGCCTCCCATCTTCAAGCTGGCCAAGCTAAATCTTTGAGATAGAGGAGAAATCAAGCTCTACTCTTGTTTCAGATATAAAAAAATTCACAAGAGTTTCTGTCCATCCTTCCCCTGTGAGAAGACAACTCAACACTATGAGTCTGAAAGGATGTGTAGCTGTCAAGAAGCCCAAATCTCATGTTCTCAGAACAATGGACTGACCACCCCAGAGTCCAGACCTCAACATCACTGAATGTGTTTGGTATTACTTGGATGGCAAGAATCAGAAAATGCAACCAACTTCTAAGACTGAACTTTGGAGGTGTGGAAAAATATCCTTTGAAAAACTGAAAGTGAGTCTCCTAAAAAGAATGGAAGCTGTGTTAAAGGTAAAGAGTGGACACACCAAATACTGAAAAATATATTGTATATGTGAAAAATATAAGCTGTTTCAGCCTCTGTGCAATTTTCTGTTAAATATGTTTTCTGCCTTTTTCCTGATGCTAAAAATGAATAACTTGTTCTTGATGACCTTTTTTGACTAAAAAATAAATAAAGAAATCCAGTTTAAACCTTAGAAGTTCAACAGGGCTAATTTTCTATTCATTATTTCCTCATTCGTGATTCGTTTTGAAATCCTATTGAAAGCACCAATTCTATGTTTTTAATCTGTCCTGTATTTGCATTTGTAAGTAGAAGAGAAAAGTCTTTAGTACGATTTGAATTTGATGAAATGCTACTGTCTTCCTTTACGCAAAGAACCTTTTTTTTTACAGTTTTGCCACATTTTTGTCATTTCTTGACATTAAAACATACAAACTCGAACCTGTCAACACAGCATATAAACCACATAGAAATGTTATTTATTTGTAAATATGTAATAAAATTAAATTATGTAATTCAATTGGAATATATATAGCAAATGACAACTGCAGACCTTCACAGGTTAAACACACTCATTCAGCTCCCTCCCACACACACACACATACACTCACACACACACACACACACACGCACACACACAAGTCACTTGTTCAGAGACACGTGGATGTGAAAGAGTGTTTGACATACAGCCTGTAATTGCTGGTTAGAAGGTGATAGAAATTTGCAAAGAAATGAATGGAAATGTGTCAGACTGTATTACTGGTGACTGATGGGCTAAGCATGTGAAAAAGTCACTGAACTTAGATGTCCTCAACTTGACCTCTTACACACACTCACACACACACACAGCTCAGCAGGGGTTCTGGTATTTGGGCTGCAAGCTAACACAAGTCAACAATTAACCAATCACAGCAGGAGACACAGTCATATGACAATGATAAACAATTTATCCAACAAGGCTGAAAGAAATGATTGAATGTATCTGATTCAAATGTGTTGGACAAACTAACTCGGGGTGAAATGTAACACATATTCTATGTAGTTAAACAGTAAACAGTCATATCCAGTCAAGAAATCCGTATTCCCCCACGTAAATTGAAAACAATACTACTATGGATGGCATGTAAATAAAATGAACATATGTCATATGCAAAAGTTTGTGCACCCCTGTTTAAAGTGAAAATAAGTCAAAAATCCTCTAAAAAGGACACACTTATGCTGTTCATTTGCTGAATGTAGCATATTGGAATATAAAATAAAACATAAAATGTAGCCAGTGCAAAAGCTATAGCACATTTTATAGGCCTATTTTATGTGTTTTAAGTTACACATAAACATTTTTGCACAAAAATGTAGACAAAAATTCCATGTTTAAATTTGTTAGGTTTGAAAAAATGTCATTTGTCCTGGGCTATTCAAAAATTTGCATATATGTGTGTGTGTGTGTGTGTGTGTGTGTTGATGTATTACTTCTACTCATGTGGACATGATGTGCACATTTGAATCAAGTAAACTTCTTTCCAGTAAACTATACAGTCTACTATAATAATACCACACATTATAAACATAAGACCCATTCTTATTGTTAACTACTATTAAAAATGTCCAGTAATTGTTACCAACTACGCTGCCACAGGTTGTTAACCAGCTGTGGTGGTCAACTTTCATGTATGAAGAAAGAAGATTTAATCTTTGTTTCTAGTCTAAACAGACACACATTTACACACTGGCACACACACCTGTTGTCCGGTCCTTTCCCAGCAGGTCCAGCTCCTGAAGTGTTGCCCCTACCAGCCTGTGAACACAAAACCACAGTAAGTCCGGCTCACGTAGTTGCTCACCTACTGCAACCACACATACATGAGAAAGCAGAGTGTTTGGGAACAGCAGTGAAAAAGCAAGCGGGGCGGTGGTGCTAACTCCCGCCCAGAGAGCTGCGCTGGTCCCCTGGGTCCTACAAAACCACAGGTTCAGTTTATTCTACAAGGCAGCAGCGTCATGTAGACTACATGAAACAGAGCAGACTTGAACTGCTAGCCACCAAATTAGGCCTTGCAAATTTGTCAACAAATACCAGCAAGGTTAGACCTACAAGGTAAGAGTGGCTGGTGAATGTAGTAGGAATGTGGAGAAATGTGTCCAAGCCTGTAGAGAAGATTCAGAGACCTTAAAAAGACTGAAAACAAACTACTGTTCAGGATGCTAGCAGAGCATCATAGCAATGGAGTCTTAAAGCAGTACTCAAATTCACGCTTTTTCACTTTACATCAAAGGAAGTCAATCATCCAAGACATGCTTGGTGCATGAAATTTGCAACTTTAGGTTTTGCACTGAAGCTAGCTAACCCGTAATGGAAGATAATGGACAAAGTTAAAGACAAAATTCAGGATTCACAATGGCTGATATGATGGTTTTTAGCTACTTTAGCACTTTTGTCCATTTCTATAGATAACAGCGGAGAAGCAAACCACAAAACATGTCTTGGCTGACTGACTTTATTTGGAATAAGGGTAAAAGTTTTTCGCCAAACTCCTGATTTAAGACTCGTTTGCTATGTTGCTTTGGGAAAATAGTACAAATGTATTTTTTATTTTTTTTTGCCAAACTAGTGCTTTTTTTATTTGACCAAATAATGTTGCTTCACTATGCAAAGGAATCATGCTAACTGGTGACAGTTAGCTACTGAGTCAAATACATAGGTGTCAACTAATAAGGTTTACCCATATGAAACATATATATGCAAATATATATGTACATATATATAGTACAGTCATATGCAAACATTTAGTTACCCCTTTGTTGATTTTCAAAGTGAAAAATAAGTAATGCCCAATAACTGTTTATTTGCTAAATCATTATTATTATTAGCCTGTGCAAAAGTTATGGCACATTTTATATTTTATGTTTTTTTAAGTTCAATATGTTAAACTCAGCAATAGAAATAATGCCATATTTAAGCTTGTTCCCTGTAGAGCATGTGTCAGGCTCCAGTCCCCGTGGGCCAAAACACTACAGACTTCAGCATGCTGCCACATTAAACACACCTGATTCAGCTAATCAGCGAATTAGCAAGACCTACATGAACTGAATTCAGAGCGTTATATGATCTCCACAGCACTTGAAGGTCCCCATTTTGACATGTCTGCTGTAGAGGATGTGTTAACTTATGTTCACTTAGAAATTCAACAAATGTGTGATTTGGTATTTAACTTATAACTTTTTCATATGACTGTATCTAGTCTAATACGGTTTACCTTGTGATCTTTAGCCAGCTAACATCAAGATTTGTTTTTCACTTTCTGTTTTATTACACTTGCTAGTCTTAAAGATCACCAGAGTGTGACGGCATCAGACCGATTTATGACAAAACCGATATCACCACACATGAGAAACAAGGCATCAATTGCCCAAATTTGTAATCTTATTGTTCGAAGGATTAGAATTTAGTAAGAAGCTGTGTCTGGAGTGTAAAAAACAAACATATGATTATATATTAAATATGATTCTATTTGAAATAATGATTACCAGAGAAATATGTTACAGTGCACTGGATTTTGCTAATGATTTCAATGGCAGAACTAGTCTATACTTGTTTCAATGAATGTATACAGTTTGGAGTCTTAATATGAAGTTTACTGTCTCTAGAAGTTGACATTTGGGTGTAGTGTTCTTCACTGAATGCAGACATGATGAAACAAGCAGAATAAACAGCGGCCGAGTCAGAAGGCCAGGCTGTTTCAGGTCATGCGAGTGATCAGTGATCTACTAGTCTTAAGTTTTGGCCGCGCAGTAATACATGAGGAGGTTCACTGTAGGAAGGGACACCAAAGGGTCAACGTGCACAGCTGCCTGTCGTCAGGGAAAGCGTTCTGTGAGCTTAGCTGCTGACGAAGCAGGAAGTAAGGAACCCTGGCCAAGACGAGACACTTTTTGAGCCTCCTGATGAACTGCACGGTGCAAGAGGAGACCTTTACAGTCCAGACTGGTCGAGTTTCTGAACTGGAATCCGATCCGAGTTTCCGAGAGCTGAATTAAAGACTGGACTTTCAGTCCAAACATAGAAGCGTAACAGGACATTAGTTACAGTTTAGAGGGAGTTATCTCTTTAATGCAATTCTGTCTCTCTTTATGTTCCATTCTTTGTCCTCTGCTGTCTCTCCAACAGAAACCTCCTCTTTCTCGCTCTCTCGCTCTCTCACTCTCTCTCCCGGTCTATCTCTCGCCAATTTTTTCTACCTCCCTTTCTCCCACACATAGTCATCTGAAAATAGTTTGCAGGCCATTTCGTGATATAATGAACACTAGGCTTATCATTTAGTTATTAATCTTACTAAGCTTACTGATTCATTACTCACCAACTACTATAAATTATCTGTAGTGCTTGTGGTTTGTAGTGAGCTATGAGTTCTATATAGAACCAATTTTATGCTTAAATGGTTTTTTGCATCGCAAAATGCTTCTTCAGACTGATGGAGTGTCAATATAGCACCAAGCTTGACACCATAACAATAGAAGAACCCTTTTTGGTGCTATATAGACCATTTTTGAAAAGATTATGTACAGAACCATATACAACACATTCCCCTCAATCCAAATGACAATTTCACCATGCAAAGAACCGTTTAAGTATGAAATGGTTCTATATAGAACTTATGGTTCTAAACAGAACCATTCCCTTTACTAAAAAAACCCTTGAAAAACTTTTTTAAGACTGTAGCTGATGTTAGCTAGGTCCAGAAAAATGAATTTCTCTGAGAAATTAGGCACTGAGGAGAAAACCTCTTGTCTAGAAGACATCAAGTCCTCATCAGCATCCAATATGAGACGGTTTAGCTCTATTAGCTCATATAAAGAGGCAGCCTCCCTCATTCACCAGCATGAAACTTACCACAAACTCTTTTTAAATCTAAAATGATTACGTCAGTCTGTTTTGCAATGCAAGATTAGCTGCAAAGACCTCGACCTTAAACAGGATCTGCTTCAGTACACTAGATGGCAATGACACCTTTTACTTGCTTGATGGAGAGAAAGAAAAAGTCTAGCCATTTATGCACAACAGCACAAATCAGCAGGGCTGTTAGCAGAGTTAGCTAATGAGCTAATTTTACTAATGAAATTCTGGAGATTAGCCCCTTAAATGGCCAGGGATTTATTACACACTTCTATAACCAAAGAACAGCTCAGCCAGTTTGCACTGAGGTCCATGACGTTACTGAATAATAAGCCTTAGAATGTAATAAGACTGGGATTTTAAGTGGGTTAAAAAGCATGTATTTTTGAGAAAAACATCTTGGAACAAGAGAAGAAACTATACACGAAATATAACATATTGAACCAAAGATTTTTGACCTACTATTTGGTAACTACTATGAAACAAATCTATAATTTTTGCAGTTAAGAGAGTGAAGAAATGAAGTATGGACTATGGGGTGCAGCGAGGGGATGCTCGAAAAAGAAAAAGCAGAAAAAGGCAGTGTGAGGCGAAAGACTGATGGAGTGTGTTGGAAACGGGGGGTCAGTACCTCACCCCTGCCTTGCCGCTGCTGCTTCTTCAGGGAAATCTTCCTCTCAATGCCCCGGATGTCTGACTCCAGCTCTGCCTCGAAACGGTTCAGCTCTGACTCCAACGCGGCCTGGACAGCAGCACCACAACCAGGGCCGTGATGGAGCAACATGGAAATAAATCAGAAATGGAGCATGTGATTGGTGGAAATCTGACAACGGATCATGGAATTGCAAAGAAATCTAAACCCAAATATAGGTGTTCAACCAAGACATGTTGTCTATAAAAATTATAAAGACTAATGTTAAATGGCCTAAAGGTGGCTGCTACTACTGTTTTCATATACTTTTGTCCATATTTATAGATAACACTGTCATACGGTGTCAGAAACTCCACGAGCAGGTCTTTTTGAGATTGGTTAGCAACTGAACACGGCCTCAGGCAAAGGTGTGATGATTTAGGACAAAGTCCTTATATTGCCCCCAGGCAGTTATTTCCATTCATACAAAACCAGGCTCCTATCTCTTTGAATGGGGACAGACCTAAAAAGGAAACTAAATGTCCTATAAACGTTTCGAAAACATATTTAAAATTACTGGTAAAATCTGACAAAAACAGCATCATTAGTTTGTTGAGTCTACCTCAAAAAATGCGTAAATACACAGTGCCTTAGCTTGTTCTGGCTACATGTGCATATCTACAAAGTGGAGGAGCTTACAAAGCAAGCCGATTGGCTCACTTCATTGAAGGGTGGGACTTTCCTCATAAACACATTCCATGTTCAGCGATAAGAGCTTTCCCATTCATATTCCAACGGTTCTCCTTTATAATGTCTCTATGTAGGCATGCAGTTAGCATGATGCTAATTCGTTTACATAAGCTTTCATTATTGCTTAGCTACATTAGCCTCGTAGCTTCCGTGCTTAAGCTAAAGAAGCAAACTTTAGACGCCAAACCTTGGCTGATCAACTACATTGTGGGGCAAAAGTGAAACTGTATAAATTTGATTCTTCACCATAGGAACTCAGTAAGAATTAAAGCTGCTTATGTTCTGGTCAGCATGTGGTCACTCACCTCTATGGAGGGGGAGCGGGGCGTCTCAACAGGGCGGTGCACAGGTGGTTGTCTAGGTGACTGAAAGCAAAAATAAAAGCTGAGTTAGGCTGCAAAATATCACATCTCAGTGTCACAAGGGCTGATACTTCACAATTAGGAAGAGGCAAGGTAAAGGCACATGTTAGCATCTTACAGTCAAAACGGTGATCTAGAACCCATGTAACCTTTCTCTGGGATGCTAAAAACATTAAAACAACAGTTCAATGGAAAATTTAAGCTTTCCCCTTACCACTAGTCAATCAACCAAAACATGTTTGTTGCCAAAATTTGTTTCTTTAGTTTTGGACTGGAGATATGAAGCTAAGAGCTAACAAGCTTATGCTGCGATCGACCCAGTTAGCAAAATTTGTCTGGCCCACTTGTGAGCCACATCCTTGGGACTCTTCTGGCCCAGTATAAGGCTGGGTCCTCCAGATCCAGCCCACACACTGTAAAGTGAGTCAAAATAATGTATGCGTCCCAAATCTGGCCCAACCACTTGCTAGTCCACAACATTGACCCACAAACATAGACACGAAGCAATACCATATAAAGCTGTTCAGCCCTATTCTGGCCCGCTTGCCTAACATCTGCCTGGTAGTCAACCAGAACTCGCGTAGGAAAGCCAGAATCGGCCCAGAACTGTCTGCTATCTGGGGACTGATGCTTTTAACTCTAATTTTTCCTAATTCCGAAAACTAAAAAGCACACCCCCTCAATTGGGAATTCCTATTTAGAAAGTTGGGAAGGTGTAATGTTGGGAAGCACATGATGTCATATCAGGATGTCTGCTCATGCTGTCAACAGTAAAGTACCACTTCACTACTTTTAAATGAGATTTGCTTAAAATCAATCAGCATACAGACACAAGTGTTGGTTAGATCTATAACACTGACCATAAAGTTTGCTGTACTGAGAAGGAAAATCCCTCATAAACATTAAAGCTAACATCACTAACATTAGCTGACTTGCTATCAACACCATTTTTTTCCACATTTTGTAGCTCTAACGTGTGGAAGTCGAAAAGTGGCATGATAACGAGCTCCGACTTCTGAGTAAAGTCGAATGCAGCTTTGTACTCCACCACTTAGCATCATATTACTTGTTGGCTACATTAGCCTTGTAGCTCCAGTGCAAAACTAAAGAAGCAGAGTTCAGACAAAAACATGTCTTGGCTGACTGGCTACATTTGTGGTGAGAGAAAATTGTCTAAATTTATCCCAAGACTGTTCCTTACTAAATTTAAAATAAATGTACAACTTCAAATGTATCCCTAAAGCATTAAATCTGAGATAATTACTGTGATCCTCCGCATTTCTGTGTATTCTTATGCATCATTTAGTCCCTGAGGAATAAAACGTCCTATTTTCAGAAATATCTCAGTGGCAAGTGGACACAACAAAGACTGAATAATAAGCATATTCTAAGAGACAGAATAAAAGTCAAACCCAAAAATCATGAACTCGTTTCTAAATGTCATGCAGTTTCCAGTGATCTCACTTGCACTCCAAAAAGATGAGATCAGAAGAGGCTCCTGAAGTGGAGTTTATCTGATTGGCTCCGTTTGCTCCTCCACTCGCAGTAAAAGTCGAAGAACACTCCGTAATCAGTCTTTAAAGGGCAACATCATTACACTCAAACAAGCCACAGACTGATAGGATCGTGTAGCACATCGCTTTCTTAAAAGCCCAAAAAGCCAGAGCTCAGACTTCACTTTCCCTTCTCCTGGCTGTCTTTCAGATATCTTGGCAAGAGGAGAGCTGCTCAGTGCCAGGGCAGCTGCTTCGCAGTCATCCTTGCAATCAGATCAGCTCACACAGATGATTTCATCTTAAAAAGGCGTCTCAACGTTAGTCCAGCTCACAGGGAGGAAGATTCCGGGCTTGCGTCTAACGGCTGGGCTGTGAAATTGTGAAGCGCTTTTGGATCAGACAGGCGGATAACTCGGATAACGGGCCTAATCACTATCACAAGACTGCTCAGCCTGGCGCAGGCCCACAGAGGGAGGGAAAGAACAATGAATCCATTTCTTCTCTCTCCTGGAAGACCACGTAACCTGAACTGGCCCAGATAAACTAGCAAACTGTGACAAGAGTCACTCACAGTGCAACAAGATCCTGATAAATATACTTAGCCAATAATGGAAACCACCTTTTTTTTGTATGATTCATGAAAATGAGTCATTATAGGACCTCGGTCAAAAATCAAATTACACAGTTTGCCCATTTCTCTGAATGCAATCGATCAGCCAAAACATGTTTGGTGTCTGAAGTTTGCTGCATTAGTTTTGAACCAGAGTTCAGTGTAGCTAACAAGTAATGGAAGCTCATTGCACTGATCAGCACTGTATTACTTGTCAGCTACATTTACACAATTTCCTCCTTAATTGTAGTCAATAAGCCAAACCACCTTTGGTGTCTGAAGTTGGTGCCTTTTATAGATTTGTACAGGGCTATAAGGCTAATGTACCTAACAAGCTTATACCACACTGATTAGCATTATATCACTTACACAGTTCACATCAGCCAATGTTTGGTGTCCAAAGTTTGCTTCTTTAGTTTTGCGCTGGAGCTACAAGGCTAATGTAGCTAAAAAGTAATAAAAGATTATGCTGAACCAGTTAGCACTGTGAAAACTACATGCTGAAATCATCACTCGCTTATGTTAAACCAGTGGTTTTCAACCTGTGGGTCGTGGCACCCCAGTGGGTCATGGTGGTACTGCTAGGGGCCATTGGTCATCCGTTGGCGATTAGCTAGGGGGCTGCCATCATAAATTTAAATACGACAAACATTATTGATAATTTGCAAGAATTAAACATATTTTTATCAAGCTTGATAATTATTCTGGCAAAATGCTAGCTAGGTATGTTTAGATTATCAGTGCAAGGCAATGTAAAATGGCCCCCCAGTGGGTCATGGTGGTACTACTAGGAGGCTGTGGGCCTTCAGATTTTTTAAAACCATTTGTTATAATATGGCCATATAACCAAACTTGATTATAAATACAAGAAATATTGCTGATCATTTGCAAAAATAAAACGTATTTATATTGAGCTTGATGATCTGGCAAGATGCTATTCATATTTTTATTTTCAGTGCATGTCAATGTAAAAGTTGCAGTTGTCAAACTTGTACATCATGAATAAATGGTTAAAAGGGCCTGTCAAACATTAAGATCCTGAGGCTGGGCCATCTACAAGTGAAGCAGCCAGTGTATCTCAGACTGAGAAAACTGAACATAAACCGAAAGGAAGAAAATACAGCAGAGAGTAGTATGTGCTGGGCTTCACATGTGTGAGAACTAAAAATATTGTGTGAAAATGTCATGATAAATGGACCAATAGAAATGCTCCAAAATCTCTTGAAATAAAAATCACTTTACATTAACATTTTTGCCCTCTCCAGTAAAGTTACTGTTTTGAAGATATTTGTTTTTCTTTGGACAGCAACGAAATGAAGCTTTGAAACCCAACAATTTACACTGTCACTTGAAGGCTAAACATAATCGATATGTATCTAAACCTGTCGAATTGAGCCAGTACTGCATTCACAACTCGCCTCTCTTCTGCCCAACATCCACTCAGTAGCTGCCAAACAAGATTAGCCATCTCATTTGGTGAGTCGAAAAAATGACCAGATTGGTAAAATCTTTTCGTGGGCTGTGGAAGCTTTTCTGGTTGTTAGTGTGGGCAGCAAAATTTTTTGCATTTGACTTTTTACAACCTATTCCAAAACAAACATCTGGCTGCATTAATAAAAAGAGTAAGTCATTTTCCTTTTTACCACAAGGTTGTTCTGAAGCAGGCTGTTCAAGTGGGTTCAAGATTCATTACACAACTATTTCCTAAAACCCTCAGCTTTCAAAACACTAACAAAACCAAAAAAAAGAAAGAGAGGGTCTGTTTGCATTGCTCTGAATGAAAAGGGAAACCTGCCAACTCCTTAAACTGGAAACAATCACATTTACGAGTCAGCAGGCAACTCTAGCAACATGAAGAGGCAAGGATAGTTTAGAGGACAGTTACATTCCTGACCATGTGCCAGCATTCAAAGCAAAAAAAAAAAGGAAATAGGAATGACATGACGACAATTCATGCGAAGAACAGGGATAATGAAGACAGGAAAAGAGGTTTGGAACAGCTTATGATCTAAAATGTGCGGGGAAAAAAAAGATTTTTCACGGTCAGCGGAACACCAAAGACCATTTTTTGGCAATCAGTGAAAATGGGCCAATAAATATGGTCTAAAGTTATTTGGAATCAAAAAAACGTGTTAACGAAACTCATAAAAAGTTAAAACAAACACATTTTTTCATTTTTCTTACAACAATAAACAGACATAATCTATAAAATAGCTCAACCTAGTCTGAGCCATCTAATGTATAGGTAAAATATCAGATATCATAACACTGAAGAAGATTTAATCAATGCAAAAGCACTGACGGTACTACCACTGCATCCCTCCCAATACATTTGTCATTGTTATTTAGCCAACCCGGTTCATACTGAGCCTCTGAGCTTCTATGGTTACATTATATACCTAATCCACCAGATTAACTAGTAACCACCACAGCGCTACGGCGAGGGAAGAAGTCTGTCAGATGATTATAACTTTCAGTTGATACCACATATGTGTTTGAATATAAAGAATACTAATTTTTCAGTCTTGTTTTGCAGAAAAAAAACATTCATTACATTAATTATTCATTTGGTCTTGGACTGAAATTTTTAATGATTAAAGGTGAGATTTAGTGGCATCTAGTGGTGTAGTTGCAGAGTGCAACCAACTGAATACCCCTGCCTCACCCATCCCTTTCCAAGCATGTAGTAGAACCTACGGTAACCGTCATGTTTTCACTTCTTTGACAATGAGGTTTCACTATCCCTTGTTTTTCCTCACAACAAAAAATGGCTAGCCGGCATCGGCAGCAACCACTGATTCTTCTGCTTTCTACGTCCAACCGATGCTACAGCGCCGCCAAATTCAAGCTGCCACTTCAGTGTAAAAATGCGAAAGGCACTCTTTAGAGCCAGTGCTTGGTTTGTCTATTCTGGCCTCTGTTAGAAGAGGACCTGCTCCCTATGTAGATATAAAGGACTCATTCTAAGCTAAAGAAAACATAACAATACATTGTTGCAGGTGAATGAAAACATGGTTTTGTATACTATATTTCATTTCTGCTAATAGATCACCATAAATCTTACACACTGCACCTTTACATGTAAATCATATAGAATGTATAGCAAAAGTGACAATAATGACTCTAGGCTAGGAAGGGTTAATCTTCCTTGTAACACTTCTATCTTCTAATCTGCCATCATACAGTGATGTAATTTTGATTTTAATACCAATACCAGCACCCAGTCCCATTTCTTATTTTTACCCCTACCCCTTTTATTTGAGTTTCACCTAGTCGTTCATGGTTTTTATGTAAACAGATGTTTTGCTGGACATTTCCATTATGCCAATAGGCATTCTTTAGCAGTTGTCTGCAGCAAACAAAGATGTTTTCAACACCTGGAAATGCTGGTGGAGGGGTTTGTGGAATGTTGGATAGACTGCAAACAAGTTTTGTTGTAGTTAGCCTAGCTACACATCATGCTAGCTAGCGTGTATAATGTTAATGGCTTCGGATTCTGTTAATATTTAATGAACCCATTTGTGGTACACACGCAATGTGTTTACTCATTTGTCTGTTGTTTTTCTCATAACACTCTGTTTGGAGTGTGCCTCTGAAGTGCCTCTGTTTGGAGGGCCATGTAGCCCTGACACTTTGCCCCACCTCTCCATCTCAACAAGAATCGCAACACCCTACCCCTGGCTAAGTGGTGGGGGGCATGAGGCGAAATGGGACTGGGCCCAAGAGTAATTTTAACAATGCCCGACACCAAATGGCCAAATTATTGCTAGCTTATTTCATTTAAGATTTTTTGCCACAGTATTGAAAAAGTACTGTACCTTCAATTCCCTGTGCGACTCTATTATAGTTCTTTTCCCACCACTGTCACCTTTGGCTTGCTTTTTAGGGGGACTTCTGGAAAAATCTTTTGGCAGAATATCGATTATAAAAGCCACTTTATAAATTAAACTGAACTGAAGCGAAACCTTCCATGAATATGACTTACAACTTGTTCATGTTACTGCGCAGCACATTTCTCAGACTGACACCTGCATTCTCTGTGTGTTTCTCTGTATGACCTGTATTGACTAATACATTATCCAATAGGTGCCACATTGCTGTTATCTTCCTGTTACTGATTTGGCAGCTGGTTTATCACAAAAGATTCATGATGTCATGTTTATCACAGAGAGCAGTCTATACATGTCTAAAACTGCCTCACTAGTTCCAATGATCTGAAGTCAAGGCCACAAAAGAGTCTATTTATATGTGCAATGATGCAATCTTTTGGAAAGCACCTGCGAAGGTGTGCCTCAAGACAAATGACCATACTTATAAACCCTCACTAATAAAGCGTGGGCAGTTAGCATGGCCTCAGCACTCAGGCATTTACAGATCCACACAAACCCCTAATCCTTAAAGGAAGCTCCCTCTCTCTCTCTCTCTCTCTCTCTCTCTCTCTCTCTCTCTCTCTCTCTCTCTCTCTTTCTCTCTCTCTGTTTGTGTGAAAGGGCTGAAGCTGGACCCACTCACTAAAATGCCACAGGCAGTAACAAAATAAGGCCTTCAGCACACTGGCCCAACCAACGCACTACAACAACACAAAACTGACTATTCAGAGACAAGTACATTAAAGAGCCTACATTTTTCCATATTTTCTCTTTTTCCATTAAGTTCTATTATGACATTTATGTTGCTTAATCTACTAAAAACTGACTATCATTTCTACATGATCATTTTTCACATTTATATCTCTTTATCAGAATGAAACAGGCTGTTTGTGTTACCATGCTTTTAAGACTAATATATGTAAATAACCTCTGTTCTGATTGGCCGTCCTGTATTTTGGCTCATACAAAAAAGCAGTCGGGGCTGAAATGTACAGATCAAATGGTTAAAAGGGAATTCCACTGACTTTTCAAAATTTCTGCATAATTTCATGGTCGAGCTAAAATTGGCGCAGATAAACAACATTCGGCATGGCTTGATATGAAATGGTCTGTTCTAGACAAACGTACGGGGTCAAAATTGCTCACAGTAGTGCTGACAGGAACCAGCTCCCTCAAAGATCGAATAAAACTGTTATGAATGAGCTGCTTCATGCCTGAGACGTGGTTTTACAGTAGCGTCAAAGTAAGCCACTAGCCTAAAACTCACACGCAGGGCATTGTAAGGCAAAATGGTCCCAAAGAAATCAGGTCTTTTCAGATTTACCAGTTTTATACCATCATCAACATTACATATAAAACTCAGAAGACACATGTAGGTTCACTGGTGGTTCTGGATAGTAAATAAAATGGCTATATTTGCATTGTAAACAATGTGAGCCCTGGTTCCTATCACCACCACTGTAAAGAAATGTGAGTCTACAATGACCAATTTCACATCAAACCACTCTGAATGACTTTGTTTACATCTCAACCACTGAATTCTGCAGAAATTTTGGAAAACTGATGGAATTCTCCTTTCAGGTTCAAACTGAAATCTTCAAGGACTGGTGCACATGATGCAGGCCCTTTAAAACTGCTGAAGATTTAAGCGCTTTTTTGAGGAAACCTGTTGACGTTTATCGCCTACATAAACACACATGCTGCAGCAATCTACTGGATATAGGACATTCTTTTGGTGAGCTGGTGTGAGCACTATGATTAATGACCAAGAAAAATCTCTCAACATGCTGCTAGTAAGACTGTGAGAAATCTCAGAGCGGATCCACATGACAGTTTTATAGAAGCGTGCAGCAGATATCAATCAAATGTGCAGAATGTAACTGCACGTACGCTACGACTCAAAGCATTCGTCAGAGTATGAATAACTCATGAATAACTTTGCATGATTAAAGTGTTCTTTGCTTCATGAAAGTGTTCTTCAGACTGATGGAGATTATAATGCAGATGGTTCTATATAGCACCCTTTTGAAAAGAGATCTATATTGCATTAAAAAGGGTTCTTCTATTGTGATGATTTCAAGCTTGTAACAGTAGAAGAACCCGTTTCAAAAAGGTGCTATATAGAGCCATCTGCAATACGCTCTCCATCAATCTGCAGAACAATTTTATGATGCTTTAATCATGTAAAGTGTTCTTTAAGTATTAATGGTTCTATACTAAAGAAGCCTTGAGGAACCATCATTTTTTAAAGGTGTTTAAAATCTGCTAAATATAAACAGCCTGTCTATACTATATTACACTATATTATACTCTATTAAACTATAGCAAGTTATATTGTACTATAAAACAGTACACTAAACTATATTGAACTATTCTACACATTATACTATATAACACTAGCTTACACAATATAAAGATGTTTTTGTTCTCTAAAGAACCAAGGTTGAAACAGAGAGTGAGTTTAAAGAACCTTTCACAATTTTAAAGAACTTCCACATAATGTAAAGGTTCTTCGCCAGCTGAGCTTTTACATTATGTGGAGCCTCTCTAAACCTAAAGGGGTTCTTCACACATCTCATTTACAAAAATGGTTCTCCAAAAGAACCATCCATTAAAAGGCTCTTTTGGGAACCAACTGTGGTTCTTCTATGGCATCACTCAAAGACCCCGTTGTTGTACAGTTTTATTAAGAATGCATAATAATTTCTTGTCATGTTATCTGCCTCAAGATTTGATAGACACTTCAAATATGAGGCTTCCTGGATATGTATTAGAACTTCATTCTTGATGTTATAATAATACTCCTACTACTACTGCTAATAATAATAATAAGAATTTTATACCTATATCTGCAAAGAAAATTATTTTTGCATTATTCAAAAGAGTGTTTCCAAACTTTTGAACTATGGTGTACTAAAAAAAAGTACGTATTATGTAGTATGTAGTATGAATTGTGTACAGTAGTGTACCTGAAAGAGACAGTGTGCTATAAAACGCTACAAAAAACTGTAAAAGTGTAGGTACTCAAATACGACTTGATTCCGAGTGTCTCTTACCAGCTTATGATCCTCCACCGTGCTTCCCTGTCCCGGCTCAAAGTCGAAAATGCTCTTCGGTTCTGGAATCTTCACTACGTCTCCCAGATCAGCCCTGAAACACAACCCACACGCACACTTTATCGCGCTCTCGTTGTCAGTGCCTGCTGCGACAGATCCCAACCTGCCTGCTGTCGTCTTTTTGTCTCTCTCTTTTTTCTCTTCCCTCCTTTTCCCTCTTCATCCTCCCCTCTTTATAGCTGACAGCTGTGTTACTGCAAGTGCAGTTTATGTGTGTTTCGCAACCATTTACCTCATAAGGAGGAGACAGTATTTACGCTTCTGTTTGGGTTTCAGCATAAAGGCATTATTACATACACTATACAATAACACAACAGCACGTTCAAACAGGGGCCTTAAATATGCACGTCCTGTTTGACTGTAAGAGCCACACCTGCTTTTGAAATGTTGAATGTCAGACGTTTCTATTTTTATTTCTTTGTGACCACAACATGGATCACAAATCTACTGAAAAAATCCTCTGAACTGACAAATTTCTGACCAAACATGCCCAAAACCTGACCACACTATCAAACAAAGACTGAATAACCATTGCTAATGATTTTGCTGATTTTACACTGTATACGACTACAGGTTTATTCCTATTGTGCACCACACAGAGGATTTGTTTTTCGTTACTGTACTTAAACCTACACTACACTTTCAGAAAGAATGGTTCTTTAGTAAAGAAAATGGTTCTATATAGAACCATGAACACTCAAAGAACTCTTCGCATGATTAAAAGGTTCTTCGGACTGATGGAGACGGTGTTGTATATGGTTCTATATAGCACCAAAAAGGTCTCCACTGTTGTTACGATGGTATAGAACCATCTTCAGCACATTAATCAATCTACAGAACACTTTCACAATGCAAAGAACACTTAAACCATGCAAAGGGTTCTTACAGTGTTCACATTTCTGTAAAGAACCATTTTCTTTACTAAAGTACCCTTGAAGTGTGTGTGAGATTTTTGGTTAAATTTGAGAGAAGTAGTAATAATTCAGAGTTTCACACCACATCATACATCTTTCACACACACAGGCTCTGAAAGAAGGTTCAGCTCGATGCTGAGGCCTCAATTACAAGATCATTCCCTCACGCTCGCACTCAGAAGACACATCCTGCACCATGTTATGATTGAGTTCTCTTTGAATACTCGTTCAGCACACTCACAAACGTCAGACTGCCCAAGGAAGGGGTCCGACACACAGTTCACGTTACAAAATGCTGTTCCGCACATTGCGTGCAATTACACATTATGACCAGAGAGGTCTCCAAATCCCCAAAACTGACATGGTACAGCTTTAAGAAGATTGGTACTTTTCTCAAATCTTTTACATTTTCTTCACAATACTGGTTACAGATCTAATGGTAAATATACATCAGTGTAAAATAAAACCTCTCATAACTGCACTAGTTCATCTTTATGCAAACTCAAACGTGGGATCAGAACCCAAGACGAGAAATGTCCAAACTTGACCAAACCTGAGGTGCATGATTGAGTTCTGTCAGGTTCAGACAAAAGGTCTAATCTCTCTCTCTCTCTTTATCTGTCTTACTCTCTTTTCATTCTTTCACTCTCTCTCTCTCTCACCAGTCAGGTAGAGCTCCGTGCTGGGTTAGCGTGAAGGGGTCTTTTCCCGGCCCATGACCATGCTCCTGGTTGGACTCTAAAGGGGGACTGGGGGACAGCCTCCCTGCACAGAGATAAACACATTTCATCAGTCATTACATACTTCATACCATCAGATGAGATACAGTCAAAAGTTTGGGCACCCCTGATCAAATGGAATTGTGTTGATTTTCAAAGTGAAAAAAGTGAACCTTTTTATTTGCTAAAATTAATATATTGGAAATATAACATAAAATGCAGCCTGTGCAAAAGTTATTGCACATTTTATATTTTATGCATTTTTCCAATATGTTAAACTCAAAAAATATTGAAAAATAAAATAGAAATTGTGCATTAATACTAGCAGACAAATATTTATGTTCAATGTACAGGATGTTTAACTCATTTTCACTTAAAAAAATTAACCAGGTCACAACTGTACCTGCTGTGAATATAATATAATATTTATATATTCCTGATGTCTCTACAAACAACATACTTTTATTTACAACATATAGTCAATGGTTGATATGGACCTAAATATACTACTGGGGATGTGTGAGCTGCTTGTCAACGTCTATTGCAAACAGGTCATAAAGAATCACGTAGTGCTCACGTAGTGCAAAATAAAAGCATGCTAAAAACTGGACAGCGTTCTACTTACTTTCCTTCCAGTCAATTTCTGTCTCTGAAAAAGAAAAGAGAAAAAACAAGATGGAATGAGACACTATTTCCAACAAAAGTACAACTTAGCAAGTTCCAGATCAGAGTTTCCAACCATTTTAGGACCATTTAAGTCCAACCCTTTCATAAAGATGTTCTGTAAAGTATCAGCAAGGAGCTGTTCCAACTGTAACTCTAATTTTAGCCTGACTCAACTAAATGGTTGGGGGGGTCTATCCTGGGTGGGTACCACAGGAAAGCTGCAGGTTCTTATGTTCCTGCCCTCCGCAGACTGCCTTTGAGACATTCATTAAGGTTAACCCCATTTGCAATCCCATTTCAGCAACTGATATAAGGCTTGTGTAAGAATTGAGGCTGAAAAAAGCATCGCCTTTTCACCATCGCTATGCACACTTATATGTCCAACAGTTTGCATACACCTGCTCATCCAGCCTTTCTTCCAAAATAAAGGATATAAATAAGACGTTTGACCTCCTTTACTGCAGTAACAGTACTTCTGGTAAGGCTTTACACTAGAGGTTGTAAATCTGCTGTGAGCATTTGATTACGTTCAGCCACAAAAGCGTTGAGTGAGATCAGCTACTGGTGTTGGATGATTAGTTCTGGATCACTCCAACTCGTTTTAGAGGATGGAGTTCTATCACTCTAGAGAACACAGTTCCACTGCTCCACAGCCAAACTGGAGCTTTATACCTTTCTTGCCGATGCTTGGTATTAGGCATGGTGACCATAGGCTCATGTACAGCTGCTCAAGAGCAACTCATTGTACTGGTCATTGTTTTTCAGTGGAGATTATACAAGCTGTGTGTGCACAATTGAACACCCATATCAACAGTGGGTGCACCTTAAAGTAGCTGAATTCACCTTTTTAATTTAGCTTTTAATTAAGATTTCTTGATTTATGTATTTGTTATATATATATATATATATATATATATATATATATAGATATATATATAGAGATAGAGAGAGAGAGAGAGAGAGAGAGAGAGAGAGAGAGAGAGAGAGAGAGAAAGAGAGAGACATGGTTTGCTTATTATTTTATATTATATAAAGCTGTTTTGTGACAGTACAAAAGGCATTATATATATATATATACATAATGCCTTTTGTGTGTGTGTGTGTGTGTGTGTGTGTGTGTGTGTGTGTTTACGTACCCTCAGGTCTCTTGTGGATCTGTCTAAACATGCTCCTGTACCAGTCCTTGGGTTTATTCACACTCTGGTATTAAAACACAGAATAAGAAAACAAACTGCACCTCAGAAAACAGAGCAACTGCAATTATCCTAATCCAGCTCAGCACAGCAGGAACACATGAGACTGAACTAGCTGGGAAATATGGATGAAGAGCTTGCTTGGTGGAAGAAGTCTAAAACACTTACACCAACCACGCATATCAGATGTGTTTGATAAAGTATTCCCAAGCCTAGTGTCTAAATGGTAAGCATGCTGCAAAGAAGAAATACTAAGTTACTAAGTTACACCTGGTCAAATTACATTGTTGATTTTCTGCGTGGTGAAAATAAGTGAACACATGCTCTACAGAGAACATAGTCCTGTACGCCATGCACTATTACTGTTTGTTTCCTGAATTCAACATATTACGGGAAAACAATTATAAAATGTGGCCTGTGCAAAAGTTATGGCACATTTTGTATTTTTGCTTTATTTTTTCCTTACAGGTTAAACTCCCTGTAGATCATGTGTTTACTTGAGAGATGCTGAGAGGCAGAGGTGAAACATAATATTACTGGCCAATACTACTAATTTGGAGCATGTGATCCTTGAAATGTAAACAGATTCATTCAGGGTGGGTTGATGTTGATGATATTTTTCTCCATTGGTGCTGATAGGAACCAGGGGTCATGATGTCTACAACACAAATATAGCCATTTTATTTTTTTATTCAGAATGACCAGTGAACCTACACGGCCCTTCTGAATGTGTCTATATAATGTTGATAATGGTATAATAGTCATAAATCTGAAAAAAGTTTTCTTTGGGGACTATTTTGCCTTACAATGCCCTGTATGTACCCCTTCAGCATGAATGGACTGAAATAAATGGATTAATTAAAATATATACTTAGCCAAAACTTTATCACAAAAACATCATAAAACAATGCATCAGACATCACACAGCATATATCTCAAGCTTTCAGAGGCATTAAACGCTACAGACTTCTGGTTCCTATTACCACCACTCTGAACAATTCGGATTTGGCAAGTTTCTCTAGAACGGAGCATTTCGCATCAAACCACACTAAAGGGCTATGTTTACATCTTAACCATTTAATTATGTAGAATTTTTGAAAAGTTGGTGGAGTTCCCCTTTAAAGCCTCTACTTGAGTATTTTGCTCATGGGTTACTTTTACTTGATTCAATTTAAATAAAGGCATCTTCACTTTTACTCAAGTATGTACAAACCCCAGCTGGTGACATCCTGTACAAATAAAAATAAAGCTTGGCCACAACTGAGCAAGGCATGGGAACGAGATAATTAAGTCGTGGCCACAACTTAGTAAGGTGTGGGAAATAGATCATCAATAGACATCAATAGATCATCAATAGACATCACATATAAATGCGGGGCCACGACTTATTAACGTGTGGCAGCGGGATTCTAATGCATGGCCCCGACTTAGTAAGGTGTGGGAATGAGATCATGCCTTACTAAGCGGGGCCATGCATTAGGATCTTGTTCCCATGCCTTGCTAAGTCATGGCCAAGCATTAGAATTTCATTCCCATGTGTTAATAAATCGTGGCCATGACTTAATTATTATCCTGTTTCCATGCCTTACTAAGTAGTGGCCACGCATTATATTTATTTATACTGGATGTCACCAGCAGGGCTCTGTAAGTATGACTGTTAACTTCTTGCACATTTATTTCTGCCTCAGCTGAATCTGCTCACAAAGAAGCTGATAATTATCTGATGAGTTAGATTATAGGTGAGAGCTAAACACACACAGCATGTGAGGTGCTGACGAAGGCACTGAAATCCATTGCTATAGTGTTTATGAGCTTCAAATTGGCCTATAAACTAGAGCGTGTGGGTTTATTACAAAGTACACAGCCTATTTCTGAGGTAGCAGAGGCTGTAGACCAGCGCACTGTGCCAAGGCTACAGCACATCACCTCACTAGTTTACTGCTACATCTATTACAGCAGCTAATCTGCACAGCTTTGGCAGCTGTTCAGCAGAGCTGAGGTCTTTGAACACGGGGCGCGTGCAGTGTGCAGTCTGGGTAGATACTCACTGATCGAGATGCGATTGGCATGCCTGTCTCATCCACAGGGCCGATCCCAGAGTACTTGATGAGCCTCTCCTCTCTGGTGGTGGAAGTGCGGGGCAGAGTGGCAGAACGTGGCCCACCATTAGTTAACCCATCTGCAAGAAACATTTACTGCATGAGTTAAATTGTGTTTATGTCATATAGATCTAGATTTTAAACCCAACATGATCCAACTCAGTTTAATTAACTCTTAGACGTCTTTAGATATTGTTGTCTTTTTGCTATGCAATCTATTTACAACAGTTAACTATTACAGTACTAACTACTCACTGGCTATATTGGTCACCAGCAAGACCACACTGCCAACCATTAAGTGTTTCTGATCGTTCCTAAAGGTTTTGTAATGTATTTTGGCTTTTTAATGGGTTAATATCACAATGTAAAGGATCCTAATGGTTTAACAAGTGATTAATGGCTGATTCTAAATGCATTTGATGGTTTCCTATTGGGATCTAAAGGTGTTTTAGTGTTTTGCTGCCATCTCACGTCAACTTTGCTTGTTAATTTCTGGTACCACTGTTTGTTTCGCACATGCGCAGACTGAGAAATCCGAAAGAAATCAGAGTAAGAGTTTACATGCACTGAGAAATCTGATTACTGAGCTAAAATCCAGCTCTCTTTTTTGGATTTCTTAATTGGATTTCTAGACCTTACTCCAATACTATCAGAGTATGCTGTTTACATGACCATTTGAATAATCAGATAACTGCAGGAATCTGATTATGATCATATTATTGAGTGCATGTAAACGCTGTAAATCCTGTTTTGAATCTCTTCCAAAGTCTCTTCCTCACGCTAGGCTAGCTCAGTTTCTCTTTGCCTCAGCTTGTTCAGGAATCCTCATGAAGCAGCTTTATGATGGTATCTAATGTAAAAAAGCACTGTACAAATAATTGATATTGAATTGAATGCTGGATGGGACCAGTTAACAAGCATCATAATGCTAACTGACCACCTATCTGGCTTTATTTCATTATAAGCAACTGAAGATGAGTCATTATTAGCACTATTGGAGTGAGGTACCTTGTGACTGGCTGGGACCATAGTAGGATCCAAAACTGGGGGCAGGGACTCCACCTCCATTCACCTCCGCAACCTGAGAGAGAGAGAGAGAGAGAGCGAGAGAGAGTACCACTTAGATTCACCACATTATGCTATGCCACAGACAATATATTAAATAAATTAATTAATTATTAAATAAAAAAACTTGAGCAATGCATGCATTAAAGCCTTTCAAATATTACACACATATATGTACACAGTCCTGTGCAAAAATTTGGGCACCCCAGTTAAATGATATGTTTTGTTGATTTTCTAAGTGAAAATAAGTGAACACATCCTCTACACAGACACACTGTGTATTTGCTGAATTTAACATATTGGGGGAAAAAATAACGTATAAAATGTAGCCTGTGCAAAAGTTATGGCACACTCGAAATTTTCTATTTTTTCCAAGATGAAAAATATAAATAAATGAATTAAATAGAATTTTGTATCTCTCTTTTTCTTTGTAATTCTCTGTAGATGATGTGTTCTGTTACTTTCTCTTAGAAAATAGCAAAGCATGTCATTTGACGGGAGTGCCCAAAACTGTATGAACACTGAAAAAGACCTTTGCTTCTAAATAGAACCACAAGGGGGCGCAACTGCACATCTTATGCCTCTCCACAGACAGTCAGAGTGACAGTCTTGTGAATGGGTCTCCAAGAGGACAGTCAGAAGTTATTTAGTGTAATATGGTTCTTTTAAAGCTTGTGATTGCTTCATAAGATTATTTCAGAAACTGTAGAATTTCAGTAATGTTTCAACAACATAACAGCAAATGTTTTATATTGATAATAATAATAATAAATGTTTATATTCAATATTATGTTATAATAATCATGTGGTAGACATGTATAAAGTGCTTCTAATATGATGCTGGTACTGTGCGTCATAGGGTGTTTTACAGGTTTCAAATTAATTATAGGAAGCTGTAAAAATGAATGAATGTTACATGTGTCCAGGAAAATGAACAGAGCTGTGGATGATTCTATAATAACTGAGAAAGTGTAACACTGAGAATGATTTTACAACAAAATAAAAGGCCTTATTTTTGAAAATTGGTCATCAAATCTTGAGGCAGGTAGCTTGGTTGTAAATAAATAATGACTGTACATTACATATGATTGAATATGTTGTTATTACTATATTATTAAAGGGCCCAAATCATGGAAAATTTTCCTTTTTTTGGAAGTTTGATGTAGTTTGCACATATTGTTAAAGTTTCAAAATGTACCATTCACTCTCCTCTCCATAAAGTCCAGCTGCAAAAACAGCCTGTTTGAATTCACTGTTTTAGAGATGTCTTTAAAAACCAATGCATTTACATACACTCACCTAGCATGTTATTATGAACACTATAATAATGTCACATAGAGCCTCTCTTTGCTCTCAAAATGGCTTCAATTCCTCATAGCATTGATTGGAAACATTCCTTTGAGGCTCTGATCCTCTGCTGACACGATTGCATCATGCAATTCCCGCAGATTTTCCAGTTGCACTTTCATGCTGTGAATCTCCGGTTCTACCACATCCCAAAGTGTTCTATTAGATTCAGAACTGGTGATTAGGAAGGCCACTGGAGAACTATGAGCTCATTGTCATGTTCAAGAAACCAGTTTGTCATGACTATGGCTTTGTGACATGGTTTATTATCACGCTGGACGTAGCCATTAGTAGATCCATGGATTTCACACGGTTGGGACCAAATTTAAACAGTACCATCTGTTTGAAATCTACGGTTTCTATTTTGTCTGTTTCAACTTATTAAATTTCAGAAAAAAAATTAAATACTGTGATGCATATCGTATATCATGAAAATGTCTTGAAGTATCATAATATAGTATTTTTTGCCATATCGCCCACCCCTATGTCTGTCTGTATCATTTAGAATAGATTTCAAAGTTCTGTTATTAGTTTTTGAAGCTATGAAATGGCCTTAAAGCACCTGCATACCTCACAGAACGTCTCTCTGTTTATGTTCCAATGTGATCTTAGAACCACAGATACAATACTTTCTGTAAAATACAGAAAACATGGGGAGGACTCTTATACTTCTAAACTGTGGAACTCAATTCCACTTTTTTATTAGACAGTCAAGCTCAGAACACCTTTTTAAGAAACATTTAAAAATGCATCTCAGGTTTTAATTCAAATTTTACTGCACTTTTTGTATTTTTTAATTGGATCTTTATAACAGCTGTCTATGATATTAGACTAACAAACTTTAGTTTAACTTTTTGGCTAATATTGCACTTTGAGCTGCTGACTTTGTGTTTTATAAATCAAGTTGTTATTATTATTATTATTATATTATTATTATCATTATTATTATTATTATTATGTCCAGTGAGAGTCGAATGGTGGTGGGTGGTCTTGCCTTCTGTTGAGAAGGTGCAGAAGCAGCGGTTTTGTAGTAGGGGCTCAGAGGAGGTGTGGGCAGCCCTGGGGAGATCACCACTACTTCCTGGGTCATGTCTGGAGAGAGAGCACTTCCTTGTCGACCTTCATCCGTGAAAACAATCCGTGAGCCGTTCAGATGCTCACACACCACCGTCCTCTAAAGAAAGGGGAAAATTTCATTAACACTTGCCCATGAGGTTTCAATTCATGCTCCACACACAGACTGAGTTTGGCATTGCTTAACCAGAACAATCAACAAGTTCTTAAGATCTACAGCAGCAGTTATGAAGGTATTTCAAATAGCTAGTGTGGAAATCGCAAAAGAAACCACATCTTTGGCTGAAGTTCTTGAAGCTGGCGTAGGGCTGCTTTGTTTTTTATTACAGCACTGGAAGACATAAGTGCATACAGGAGCATCTATGAACTATCCAACTGACTGCTTTTCTCGATGGAGATGCTTTTGCTCTTCTCAGTAACAGCTTCATTTACAAACTCCCTCATCAGTGATGGCCATATTCACAAATTCTGACTGGAGCTGGAAGATGTATCATTTCTTAATTATTATGGTTATATCAGTACAGAACCTTCAGGACCTTCTAGGCCTTCAGAGAAGGCCAAACAATTTCATGTATGTACTCTTATTTCATTGTTAGGTTTTGGTTGAAAAACACAAGATTTAAGATCTTCAAACGCCCAACAGAAAATTGTTCAATCAGGTCCTTTTCTCTACGGTATCAAAGTACCAAGCTAGCTCTTTCATTATTTAGGGCCTCAGGAGCTAAACAGAAAGCATAATGTGTCAGATTAACTACCAACATTTGATGATCTAGTTAAAAATGTCACTCTAGGACTTCTGGAAGTTCTAGATACATCACTTACTGTGAATAGGAGCCATAGTCTAAACTAGGTTTCAGTTCTTTGTTAGAAATGGACAACAGCAGCGCAGCTTCATGCTAGAACTCTCTACTGAAAGAGTCAAAACTGCTTCATACAAGGTAAAAATTATGTTACTGTCTGTTACAAGCTTTAAATAAAACACATGGAATGTGTTTTACAAACTTCAAATGTTTGTGTTTAATCTAGAACGGCGAAAAATGTGTACTGGTGCTAACTCAGCGCTAACATACTACTAGAAATCCCATAAGGGTGCTAGCAGAAATTAGCATAATCGTAGAGGTTTTGACATTTATAGCCTGAACCGAATGCCTAGCACTAAAAGTCATGGTTTGATATTGGCCTTTGCAATGCTGATATGAAGGAAGGCTGCAGTATGCAAATAAGCTCTTTAACAAATGACAGGGTTTTTTGTTGTGTGCTATGAACATTATGTCCATCTGCAGATGTTCCAGATAAATCACTGTGGGTGCTTTAATGAATTCATGGGACCCAGCAAACGTAAATGTCATGTCAAATGTCAAAGATTCAAATACTGGCATATTTATTACAAAAACCTAAACTATCACACTGTATCTTTATCCTCATTATCGCTCAAACAATTCAGCCAGATCCAGGCTGAATCAGGAGAGCGAAACCAAAGCGGAACATGCTATAAATGCATCTGTGTAGGGCCTTCAGGTATAGCATATTAAAGGTTTTCCTCCCTCTCTCTTCTTCTCTCCTCTAATTGACCCTCATTACGTAGGTGTAAGAGAAAAAGGAAGTCATTCTAATCTCTTTAAAGCCACTCTATTGGGGGACACCCCTTCCCCTCCCCGCTTTGTGCCATTTATCATCCCGAGCTAGGAGAAAGGCCCCATTGTGACCGTGCTCTTTAGGGGGCCAGAATAGGAGAGGCTCATTACTGTCCTTTTAGAGGCCCGTCTCATCCAGGCCCCCCTTGAGGTGTGGCTTTTTGCCAACAGGGTCAAGATGAGGTCAATGTCAGTTGTCAGAAACAAGGACGTGTACCAACTTTCCCCTCTCATTACAAGCCTACCCTCTTAAAAATAAAGGTGCCAAAAAGAGCTCTGTGTGGAGTGATGCCACAGAAGAGCCATTTTTGGTTCCCTAAAGAACCTTTCAATTCAAAGTCAGCTGATACTTTTAAAGGCCCAGTCACACTAGCATCTTCTGATTGTTTCAATAAAATTTGGAAGTACATCTTTGGTAATCGTTTATATGTAAATGTGCATTGTTTACCAGCAGTAAAACTGCTGACCTCAGGGCAGGGCTATATGTATTAATACTGAACATCTGTTTGTGTTTGTGGGAAATATAAAATATGTCTGTTTGTTTTGGTGGGGAGTATGAAATATGTCTGTTTGTTTTGGTGGGAAGTATGAACTCTGTGGTTTTGTTTGTGGTAAGTATGAAATATGCTGGGAAAAAGCATGGAAAAACATGAATGTGGGAATAGTTAGCGACAAATTAGCCAGCTAACGTTAGTGATATGAGTGACGTGTGAGTGATGCATGATGATGTATTTACCTCCTCAAAACAGTGAACTTTATTTTTTAATGTTATAGATTTAACGCCCTATTGTGTCTATATGTTTGATCAGCAAATCTGTTTTAAAGAGAAAAGTACTTTATTGCTATTGACTTTATTGCTATTTCATTAGCTGGAGCTAATCATTAGCTGGAGCTCAGAACACAGACTCTTCAGGCAGGATGTTACAGCTCCCCAGTTTCTAACTTAAGCTTAGAAATTCCCTTACAAGTCGACCATAGCATAAGCACATCCCTGTTTATATATTTTTCTTCCCAAGTAGCTATAAGTAAGCACATAAAAGAGGGGCAGCATGATACACAGTCAGTTGGAAGGTTGTATTATATAGTAAAATATCTTTACATTGTGTTTTTACTGTTTCTATGGTTGGCAAGTTAGCTAGTTTGCTAGCAGCACCAGAGCAGAGGATTATTTTTGTTGCCAGTCTTCTGGTCCAGCCTTGGCCACGCTAATATTGCAAGACAATGGCAACTGCATTTTTCTAGTTTTACACAGGGAAACCCGATATTTGGCCATATATGCACATATATCTTAAAGAGTGAGGCATATATTTCAATATGTACAAATATGGTGCATTCATATATGTAATTATCAAATATTAGACATGTATGCATAATATATGGATCATACATATGTGTACAGTTCTAACTGTTACTATGTTAACTGTTTGCTTTGAAATATTCAATTATTTTAATGTTATTACACTAATATTCACTTCATTAGGAAGTATGCGTAAGAAAGACAGATGAGTCATATATGCCATGCATATAATAATATTATATAATTATATGAATTATATGAATAATATTTCCTATTATATATTGTTAACTGTATGTGTTACGCATATATGTTTGCATGTGCTGATGTATAGCTGAAATATGTCATATTTGAAAATAGCATATATGTCCATATGTGATAAATATAAGTTGGATATCCTCAGCATATTCTCATATGCTAATATACGTCATATATTCAAAACCCATATATTGCCGTATATCAGATTTCCGCATGGCTTGACTATGACTGTGTATATGTTAAGCTATTTCTGTTAGCGTTCGTGTTTTTATTAAGCTATCTAAGTCTGGAAGCCTTGCTTGTTTTCACTTTCACTCAACCGTTTTCTCCATGGCTTTTCTTGTGGCCCTCTCTCTCTCTCTCTCTCTCTCTCTCTCTCTCTCTCTCTCTCTCTCTCTCTCACTCCCTTCTTTCTCAGTTTGAACTCCAGAGGTCATGGGAAGATTCCCGTGTTCTCACAGATGGTGAAACTGTATCTTGCTAAATCACGAAGATGCTTTAGTGAGTCAAGGGACCAGGGACTAAGGCTTTTTTTCACGTACTGCCAAATCTAACGATAAATTAGTCCCTCTCTCTCTTTTCCTCACAGTTTAGTTCACGGTTTTATGTTGTTTGGGTGTTTTTGTATGAGGCATCTTCCAAGGTGCTGCAGAGTACTCCAGGCTTTGGCAGGTTTAAAAAGGCACCGAAGTGTAAAGCAGTTCCAGCTTAATAGAGCTTAGCAGTTCAGGGCCTAAAAAGGTTTGGGACAGGCCCGTGTTTTCTTAGACGCTAAGTATGCTTTGAAGAGTGAGAAGTGGTCGGCACCTTTAATAGCATTCTCAATACCCTTTAAAAAGGCGCCTCTAAAGAAAATAAACGTTAATCATTTAATAAGAAAATGTGTGAAATTATTCCAGCCTGCCAACATGCTTCACATACTAAGCCCATGTGAAGTTGTAGCCTTTAGCGATCACCTTCAGTGTCTGTAGCCAGTGATTCCATCTTGTAGACAGGCACTTTTAAAGGGGAATTCTATCAGTTTTTTAAAAGAAACCTAAAGGATTCATTTGTTTAAATGTAAACAAAATCCTTCAGATTGGTTAATTGTAAAAGACTGTATTGTAGAGATACTTATGACTTGGATGTCTTTATGTGGTGGTGACAGGAACCAGGGGTTAGGATGTCTATAATGCAAATGTAGCCATTTAATTTACTATCCAAAATGACCAGTGAGCCTACACTGAGTCTGAGTTAAACTATCTTAAAACAATCTCAGGCATCAGCCAATGTATTCGGAACCATTTCGTCTAATAACTTTCTTTGCATTATGAGCTTTGAGAGGCATTAAACTCTTCAGACGTCTGGTTCCTATCACCACCACTGTGAACAATTCTGTCTCTGTAAGTCACACTGGATGATTTAATTTAGATCGTAACCATTTAATTATTTTATCCTTTTAACAAAAATCAAACCACTTTGGGAGCCACAACATTTTATGCTCATTTTACCATGTACTAGTATAGGCTAAAAATATAATATAAACGAAAACAGACATACTTAGCTCTGCTTTAAGTTTTAGCTTAGCTGTAGCCATTTTTCTCACGTCTCTGGCAGGAAACTTTTTCCCAGAAGTAGACTAGTTTCTTGTAAAATGTCTCGTAACGTTCGACTTTTTACAAGGCTGAAGTCAGTTTCTCATTCGCCAGCGTCTTGTTCAAATTTTCCCGTTCCACCTTAAATGGTGGCTGAGGCGCCAGAATGTAACTACTCCGCTATTTAAGGTGGAACAGGAAAATTCGAACAAGAAGCTGACTTTATCTTCTACACGTATTAGGAAACCGCACGTGTTAGGAAACCAGCTGGAGTGATTATAAATGCAAATAAATCCATTCGTCTCTAAATTATCAATGTTTGTCTTAAATCGTTCTCTTTGCCATTTCATTAGCTACTAGCTAGGTGAGACTGTTGTCGTTGCTATGGTGTCCAGCAGTCTGCACACCAACTTTCAAGGTTAAAGGGTGAAGAATTAGCAGTTGTAGGCTACATTAATTACAGTGTTTCAGGCCATTTATTGTTAGAACTGTGTTGAACGATCAGCAGAGCTTTATTTTACTGCAAAGGAGGATTATTTTATTTTTACCTAGGAATCTAATTCTGCTGTGGAGCAGCAACAGGACAGTAAAAGAGCCGCACATTGCCGACTCTTGGTCTATACCAATTAAATCCAAACCAAGAACCAATTCTGAACCTGTATTTCTGAGTGTGCAGTGCAATAAGTTGTTTCATCCAACGCGTACACTCCTACCTGAGGCTGCATGTCATCTGTGGTGGTTCCAGTCCGCTTCTTCTATGAAGAGTTTAGATTCGCTGCCTGTGAGAAGCACAAGAAAACCACAGTTACTTCCACACTGCATGTTCTTCAAATCTAAATGTCCACATACTGCATACTTCAGGCAGGACTGTGTAAAATCAGGCAGTTTTAAAGGCAAAAGGACAATCTAGGCCTCACTGCTAAGTGCTAAAGTAATGGTTATATTCAAGGCTGAAATGAGGGGCGGGGATGCAAGGAGATGCCATCCCCCGGTCAAAATAAAGGACAAAAAACATTCCCCTTGTTAAGCAGCTACCCCCCTTTCCATCCCCTTTTGATCAATGTGATAGCACTTAAGATGTCTTATCAATATTTTAATTCCATTCATATGTGAGATTTCCACACTATGGGAGGTCTGCATGTAAAACAAACAAGCTACAAACAGGGCAGAGCAGACGCACCTACAGAAGAACCCTGCGCATTTGCTTTTCATTAGTTACATTATGGAGCGTTTGGTACAGCCTGCACGCCCACACTCAGGGTTGCCAGATTTGTGGTTTTCCTGTCAAACTGGGCTAGCTTGAAAATGCTGTTGCGGGAGCAAATTATAAAGTTTCAGCTTCTGGTGGGCGGCTTTTAAGCAAACTTTGGGCCAGAGATGTTTGCTAGAACTGGAAACCTTGCCCAGCACAGAGAATACTAAAAAATACAGCAAGATGTAAGAAAGGAAAATAGATGTCTGAAGTTGAAGTTATAACTGGAAATTGGAGTTTATAATCATAAATATATCCTAATATTATTGCTGCCAAGAGCTCTGTTGGGGGGAATATGCTAATATGCTAAAATGCTAATTAAGAAACTAACTATGTATAATGAGCTATAAAAATGAACAAAACTTGACTGTGCTTCACTGTATAGACCATAAAGAAGACCTAGATATGGTCTGAGCGAGTTGAGAGAGGTTTTGGGGGTGTATTTACAGAAAAAGATTTTGGTGACTTCTAGTCTTTGTTAGCAACATTAGCCTTGTAGCTGCAGTGCTAAACTTAAGAAGCAACATCTGGACACCAAACATGTCTTGGTTGATCAGCTACATCTGAGCTGTAAATTGGATGTTTTAATGAATAATTCCTTTAAATTTAAAATAGCATTTAGTGAAAGAGGATAAATTCCGCTGTAGGGTTGCTGATGTTATGGTCATGAGTGTTAATATCATGCCTGAGATTCTAAATGTTGATGGTAATTGCTGCTGAGAGTTTTGTTAGGGGAATAAAGTGCTGATTAAAACACTAAGTATATATATAATGAGCTATAAAAATGAACAAAACTTCACTGAACTTCACCAAATTGACCTTAAAGAAAATGTGTATGTTTTTTGAGCGAGTTAATAAGTTTTGGGGGTGTATTTACAGAAAAAAAGATTTTGGTGACGACTAACTTCTAGTATTTGTTAGCAACATTAGCCTTGTAGCTCCAGTGCTTAAAGTAAAATCTGGGATATCAAACATGTCTTGGTCGATCAGCTACATCAAAGGTGTATACTGAATGTTTTAACAAATCATTCCTGCATGTGTTCGTGCTTGTAAGTGCTGTTCTAGCATTACAAGCTAATGATAATAGCATTACAGCTTCACAGCATTACAGCATAATCAAGTGTGATTCACTGGGAGTCTCATTCTCAGAGAATCAGGTCTAGCACGTGCTGTGACCAGAGAGAGAACTGTGTGAAAGGTGAAATCATGAGTAACGCTTGAGGAAATTGTGGAATAGAACACTTCATCACTAAAGTGTACACGTAAATGATTCTTGTGAACTGTTGCAACGGTCGAAGAGTCAAAAGTTTAACAAGTCATTTACTGTAAAGCAGTACTTTTATAACTCATAATTACTCTATGAGGGTCATTCACAGAGTCCTGCTCAATCTAAGGAAAAGAGCAATGCTGGTCAAAAGTGCAAAGACCTCCACCAGTAGCCAAGTCCAGTGCAAATTACATCCTCTGTACTTCATTTCACATCACAAAGATATCATCACCGTCCAAAGTAGGGCCGGCTGTTTGTCATGCTTTCATGCACAAATGCACGTGGACTAATCTCAGCCTGAGGATGTTTATCTTAACCTTTTTCTTTTCTGTTTCGCAGCTCTGGTTGTGTACGTTCTTTTTCAAGATGTGATTAAAAACCAGTTTTAGAGCAATTTAGAGCCTGTTTACACCTTGCTTTAACATGTGTTTCATTCCCGAATCATATCTGGGCGTACTGAAATGTAAACAGGCCCTTAGAAACTATAATGGTACAGCAATAACCTAGAAGTGGTCACGGGACCCCCAAAAACCATGGGGCCCTAATCGGCTGCTTATGTCACTTATTAGGTAGACACAGCACTGGTCAAAATAGTAACATTACAGGAGAGGGCAAAATCGTTCTTACGTTCTAAGTTGATGAAAAAAGGAGGTTTTATTCCAAGTGACTTCGGAGCTTTTTTATCAGTCCAATCATCATGAAATGTTCACACAATATAAAGGGCAACAATGAAGATACATGTTTTTCTTTGCACAGCCACGATACGCATAATCGAAGCTTCTGAAATGTTCCACCATTCTGACAACCATGTATGTGTCTCAGTGTTGTAGCTACATGTCCAGCAGTACACTTTTGGGACCTTTTACAGTCACTGCAGTGGGCTTCCCCGGCCTGTTTCCATAGAACCCAATCAAACAATGACCAAACCTCACATGAGTCAAGCTCCATGACTCCATTCACAGCTATGTGAGGCTTTAAACAAAACAATCAGTCAGTTTTGGAAAATTGGCACCTTAACAAACTGAAAAGGCAATGTTCTTGGTCAGCTATGATTCTGCCAGTCCACTGATGTCGTTTGTGTATTTACTTTTTTGTCTATTTTTCATTTTCTTTACAAGTGAATTACAGTGAGGAATGATCCAGTATGAGAACCGTGGGCTGATATCTATATCCGATCATTTCTGATGTACATATCTGCAAATACCAATACATAAACATTTCCAAAATGCAGAAATTGAGACTAGAAGTAATAACATTTGTTTCCTTGGGGTTACAAATGCAATAAAATGAATAAAATGCAGGTATTTTATCACAGTAACCCAGCATCACCTAAACATTCAGCTCTCCTGGAGTACAATAAATACCTCATCAAATATCGGTCAAAAGCTGAACATCTGTCCAGCGCTGATCATCATTTTTAAGCAGTTGTCTGCTGATACTAATATGAATCTGATGTCACCAAGCATTCCTCTTTAAAAAATGGTTCTTCAAGGGTTCTATATAGAGTCATGAACCTTCAAAGAGCTGTTTGCATGCTTAAATGGTTCTTTGCATGGTGAACTGGTTCTTCAGATTGATCAGTATTATTAATCAATAATGTGTTGTATATGGTTCTATTTGAAACCTTTTTGAACATGGTTCTAAAAGGCACCAAAAGGAGTTCTTCTACTGTTACAAGCTTGACATCGTAACAATAGAAGAACCCTTTTTGGTGCTATATAGAACCTTTTACCCCACATTCTCCATCAATCTGAAGAACCATGTCACCATGCAAAGAACCATTTAAGCATGCAGATCGTTCTGTATGGAACCGTTGCTGAGTTCACTGAGTTATTCTATAACCCATGTGTCAAACACAAGACCCCAGGCCAAGTCAGGCCCGTGGCACAATCCTATTCAGGCTAGAAAATTATTTTAATTTTCTATTAATATTAGCCCATTTCACCATGAGCTGCACTACAATTCCCAGCATGCACTGCAATGCAACGTGTGCTCCAGGTTTGTTGAGGTTTGTAATATGGCCCTTTTAGTGCCTGAGTTTCACACCCCTGTTCTATAAGGACTGTTTTGAAGGCGTGGCTAGCTCACTAGCTGTGTTTCTGTTAAATTAGGACATACTAGTCAGTCTAACACTGATCGCAGAGGAAGTAAGATGAAGTTTGAGACAGAACTCTCCTTGTGTACGGCGACTGTGGCCAACTACAGCCTTTTAATACAGCACAACAACTTGTGCACCAGCTGTGCCTTTTTTATTAGCGGCGAACGCTACAGTATAATTGCAATGGAATATGGGACAATTAGGTTCCATAACTAAAGATACTCAGAACCACTGAGGGTACCACCCCAGTGACCCCAGTTTAATACCCATTTTTCTTTGAGCGGAGGGGAAAAAATGTGCTAACTAATTCTGATCTAGTCAAAAATCAGGCCTTTTGGCGGAGTCTTCAACTGGGGCAGCCCTAAATTTCCTTTCCAATACGGTTGCCATGGAAACCTGTCAGGTATCATGCAAAACCACTGTGAGTTTTTGCGAGATTTCCATTGGGGTTCTCCAGGCTTTCCACTAGGTCAGCTCTGCCTGCTGGCCACTGAGCCAAGCAGTGGAGCCGTATGGAGCCTGTATGCAGATGTGTTTTCCATGTGGGCTGAATGACTGAGCTGAGAGGACTGCGGTCAGTCTCACTCCTACGCACAGGGGCACAGAGGAGAGAGCACTGATTCACCCCCACCCCCTATTTCTCTCTCTGCTTCACCTCCTCCCTCACTCTCTTTCTTTCTCTGTGTTTCTCCCTCTCTTTCTCACCATATATATTTTATTTTTCTTTCTCATCCTTTTCTCTCCAGTTCTTTCTATTTCTTTCTCATTTTCTCTCCAGTTCTCTCTTCATTTCTCTCTTTCTCTTTCTCTTTTCCTTTTTCTCTCCACTGCCCTCTGTCTTTCACCTTTTCTTTTCACTGCTCTCTTTTTCTCCTTTTCTCTCGTTTTTCTGTTTCTTTCATTGTCTCTCTTTCTCTCTGTATCTTCATTTTCTCTCTTTCTTTCTCCATTTTTTATCATTCTTTCTCCTTTTTTCCATTGTCCACTCTCTCCATTTATTTTTCTACTTCTCTCCATTTCTCTTTTATTTTCTCCATTGTTCTCATTCCATCTCCTTTCTGTCTCTTTCTTTCTTTCTCTCTGTTTATTTCCCTCTCTCTTCTCCATTTCCTCTCTTTCTTTCTCCCTCTCGTTTTTCTTACTCCTACTTTTCTCTCCATTT